GCTCTGTATTCAGCCCTGTAGCTTCTGAGATGAACTAAATTTCTGGAGGCAGATATTTAAAAAGCATAAATAATGTATTAAAATGTCACAATGAGAACCTATTACTTTCTATAATTAATATACTAATTCTAAAAGCACATATAGTCAAGGAAATATGTTTCCAATTTTTGAAAGAAATAACCAGTAAATTTTAATGTATAAGAAAAACCTTCATTTATAGGAAAATGTGTTTTTATAAGTATCTTCATAGGTTTTAGTATTTGTTGGAAACCAGATTAACAAGTAGAATCTTGTCCACAGGGAATGTAGACAAAGGAGGTAGACAGCCCTGAGGCATATTTTATCCAGATCAAGAAAATACTGCTTTAGTCTGTTTCTTCCCTCTTATAGCTTGTGTGTCCATTTTAAGTGTGTTTGAAGGATTTTCTCTCTCACTCTGCTATCTCCAATCTCTTGAAACCTAGATCTTTAAAATGCTCTTGGATTGTTTTACTTTTTGGTGTTTGGGTTGAACAGGGCCTTGCATTTGCTTGGCAGGTGCTGTACCACTTAAGCCATGTTCCAGTTCCTGTCTTGCAAAAGGACAACTTGAGGAGAGTTCTTTTGTGATCAAAATGTAGGATGAGTAGGTGCTAAGGACTGACTTTTCATGTCTTACAAATGCATGTTGATATTCTATCCTCCCAATGTGAAAGCATTAGAAGATGGACCTTTGTTGATAGGTGATTAGGTCATGAGAGTAGAACCCTCAGGAATGAGAGAGCCTTCTCACTCCTTCAATCCTATAAAGATGATGCAGAAAGACCGCCATCTATGAGGAAGTGGGTCCCTAGCAGACACTGAACCTGTTAAAACTTTATTCTTGACTTCCCAGCATCCAGAAGTGTAAAAAATAATTTTGGTTGTATATAAACTACCCCATTTCTGATATTTTGCTTTAGTGGCCTGAATAGATTATGATAGCAAGAAACTTTTGTCCTCTGATTACAGTATAAGAAGATAAAGACAGTAGATGAGGGAGAAAGTGACAGATAGATGATAGATAATTGTGAGCTATTCTAGAGAAAGGGTGGACATATTTATTAAGGAGTCCATGCCTTTTCACCCATTAAAGAAAAATATTACAAAAGACAGACTTGGGTGATTGCTATCAAAGCCTGAGGATAAGGAAGGGTAATGGAGTCACTGAGATAGGGACAATGAGCTATAGTGAGCCCGTGCTTGATATGAAGGGAAAACTATTATGGGTCTCTGAATCCAGGACAATGGAAAAATTGTAGCAAGAAATCCCTGGCATTTGCACCAGGGTGAAAGCTCTGCTTGTGAGATGAAAAAGCAGCTTACCAAGTGTACCTAGAACTGTGCTGTCCTGTTCAGCAACAATACCAGGCATATGTAGCTTTTTAGCATTTGATCACACTAGGCATATTTGGCTTATTAGCATTTGATCACTATTGGAGTTTAGCAACTCAATTTGTACCTTTATTTAGTGATCGCTACCAAAATTTAAATATAAAACTGATACTAACTTTAAGTAAGTTTGGAACAACTTTTTTTCAACCTTCCTTTTCAACTGTAACAGTTTTCTAATTCAAATGCAGATCAAGTGGTTTTAATGAAAATTTGACATCCAAATCTAGATGCGTTATAAGTATAAAATACATGCTGAATTTCAAAAACTTAGTATTAAAGAAATAATGAAAATATTTAATTTGATTATTCATTGAAGTACTATATATTTGGACAATAAAATAATTACTATAATTAATTTCACTGATTACTTTTATCAGCATGGCTGCTGTAGAATTTAAAATTGCATATGTGACTTTCTTATTTCTTCTGAGAGCACTGCTCTAGTTTGAAGTGCACAAAGCCTCACAAGTGAGCATATCCCAGGTGAACTTCCCTCTCTGGACAAACCACTTATATCAAAAGATTCTCCTTTAGCTCCTATGCAGTGGCCAGATTGGAGAAGGACTCTCTACCCATCATTAGCTCAATTCTGGCTCCTCATAGCTCTTGGCTTCATAAATTTAACCAAATCCAGGTTTCTGGGTAGCAATGCTCCATCACTATCTGAGACACTAGCCCTACCAATAAGGGGCTAAAAAGACCACCCAATCTTAAAACCCTGTAGCAACTCAAAGAGCTGAATTAGAGAATGTAGTTACTAACCAGGACAGTCATTTTCTTGGGAACTAGGCAGCCTTCCCTCAAAGAGTTGCTATATTGGTAAATGACCACTCTACCGCATCCAAAAGATAAGGATTTTGGTTCAGCTTCTATACCTTGAACACAACTCTGTAAAACAAGCTTATCTGTAGTTGTCTCTGCTCAGCATGTCAAGTTAGGACCAACCTAGACTAGAGCACAGCGATTGAAGATACTAACAGATACTCAAATATTCTTGGATAGGCCATGAGTGAATTTCTAGGCTTTCTATGATCCAGTGAGGATATCTGATAGATACATAGTCTTTGTATTATAAACAATGCAGCTTCCACAGTTACTTTGACTGTTTTATTATGTGTCACCATCCTGGGGTATAAAATCTGTAAGAATAAAGATGATGGATCAATTGATTCTCCCAGGAGAAATCACAAAACATGATTAGGGTATAGATTTTCTGACTCCACATTCAATAGTTTTTCACTTACATTACATTCCTTTATAACTGTTACATTAAATATACACAGATTAGGCAAATTGAAAAATAAAAGCCAAACAAACTATAAAGATCTCCAACCTATCTTTCCAGTTCTTTTCTTAGTCTTCTTTACTTGACCGAGATCTTTCTCATGGGGAATCATCCCAAAGTGAAATTCATGTCTTCATTTCTTGTTCCTATGCTAAGGGTTCCTATTTTGATCTTTTCAGTTGCCACCTGTCTAGAAATTCTAGACTTTGGCATTACATTTCCAACTACTTGGTGTATTTCCTTTGTTCCTCAAAAAACCTCTCACATTTAAATTGCACTATATATAACTAAGGCAGCTAAAAAAGACTTGAAGAGCAGAAAGCAAACTTGATAGAAAGTATAGAGCACATTGCATCTAACTGGGAAAAATTCCCAAGTGTGAGGCAGTACTGTGTCTTCACTGGATAGCAAGTCTTCAGGTTATCCCTCCATCTCTGATCACCAATCAACATCTCATTAGTAGTCTGGTTTCCTAGGAAGCACCACACCTAGGGGTGTTTTTCAGATTTAATGTGTTATTTAATATGATAAAGTTGTCTCCATATTCAGAAATATTTTTATCCAATATATCTTAAGTGGGACACTGTAAGTGGGATGCTATATGTAAATGCAGTTCTAGAAAAGCAAATTATTCAGATACTTGACCCAGTCAAGAGATTGGAAAGATTTTTCTAAGGCATGAGGGTGTGACACGGTATAGAGAATTTGTTAGGATATTGAAGTAAGATGAAGCAAATTGCTGCTAACAAAATATTGCTCTGGTGCACATTGCTAATCCAAGCTACTTGGGAGACTGAAACAGGAGAGCAAGATTGAAGTCAGCTTGGGTATTGTTCCAAATTTGGTCTAAACAAAGGGTTATTGCTTGATGTCATTTGTGGTCTCTTTCTTTGAATAAATTAGAGTTATGATAAGTCATTAAGAAATTTTCACTAATGATTTAATAAATTCTGAGATTAATGTTTTCCCTGGAGATCCAGTCTCTCACTCATCCATTTGACAGTCTAGAGTCTGAGGATCACTAAATAAACACTCTTTTCTGTTTTATCTAATCTACATTTTCTAAAAACTATTTAGTAAGAGTTGTAGTTCAGTAGTAGAGTACATGCTTAGCACTCACACAGCCCTTGATTCAATCTCTAGCACCAAAAATATACTGTTTTAAAATGTTAACTTTTTTACATATGTCTTCAAGAATGTTTGAAAATAGAATTACTTCATAATTATTATTTTATAATATAGTTGTAAAAGCAGCTAAAATTTATGAAGGGCTAGACACTGCTCAGAGCATTTGTATGTAATAACCTACTTCATTCTCACGGGAATCTGTGAGATTATTGTTACTATTGTCACCGTCATTTTATAGTGAGGAAACTGAGGCACATAGAGTTTGAGTAAATTGGCCAAGGAAGAACGGTACTGCTGGGATTTACAAGTATACAGCTTAATGCAGTTGGCAAATCATATTTAGGGTTTGGATTTTTTTCATTATTGAATTTTGAACCCAGGGCCTTACACATCTAGCAAGTGCTATGCCACTGAGCTATACCCCAGCTCTAAGTGCTGGATTAATTAATTCTGTATTTGAATAAAAGATGAATAATAGAAACTTCTTATATCTTCCAGAGTGAAGGAACAGATACACTAATTTTAATTCAATATGGATCAATATCCCATTTTAACTAATACATATTTTCTGCCCTATAACTGTTCTAATTAAAAACTGTTCCTGCTTTTAGAATTAATATTCTATTTATACCATCCTAGTATACATCCCAGTAGCTGGGCCTACAGAAATACCCAAGCTTCTTTGAAAGCAATTATAAATTATAATTTTAAAGGAAGTTTCTTTTTTCTTTTAGTAATATCTCTACTAAAAAACATCCAAAGAACTAGTTTTGTTTAAAAATAATCTTTAGTAGAGTAAAATTCTCAAAATAGAATGTAATGGAATAAAAGCAAAGAAACATCTAATGAGTTGATTTAACTCGGCAAATGCCAACATTTTATTTTATATTTATTCTTATTTTATCATGAGACATATAGAAAGACTATTGAGAATTTTCTAAAAATATGCACTGAATAAATAACTTTCACTTTAAGAGATATATTTAGAGCATTTAGTTATTTATTTGCTTAAAAGGTTAGGGTCCCTTCCTATGATGTATATAAATCATAAATTCACATGCATCCCTATTGATGGCATAGCAATAGTGCTAAAAGCATTTTAAAGCTTGACCAACCCTGTGCATAGTGACTCAATTTTTTTATAGACACAGACACCACACCTTGTTGTCAATAAATAATTCCACTTTAATGGCAAAGTAATAATTTAGACAGATACAGGGTGCACATTTGCAAAAAAATATATGCAAGCTGGTTTACAAGCTAGAGGAACAATAAACCAATAGAAAATACATCATCCAGTTAAGTCCATTGACACCAAGTACTTATTGTTGGGGCTTTACAAAGACTACAAAACTTTTCAGATGATTTATTTCACTATTTCTGCCTATTTACATGATATGTTACATCAAAAATGTACAAAATATAAAATGTATACAGACAAATGTTTCACAAACTAGTTTAAGTTGTAAACTAGGTGGACCTACTGGGATGTATTGCAGGAAGTTCTGTTTATGCTCATGTTTGGACTGTGTTTCTCAAAATGGCAGGGAAAGATTAGCAATTTTCCTAGATCACATATTATACAAGGGCAACTAGTCACTCATCCAGCTACATATATTGATGTTGCACAACAGATTTGATCCATGTTTGACGCTTCAAAGTCAGGGTGACAGTTCTATGTGCATAAATTCAGTTCAGATTTCCCTCAGGGCAATAGCACCGTGTAAGGACTATATACTTAGTGACGCTCTGAAAACTGAACAAATGTCTTGTGTTGCTGTTATTGTTCTATAGCATCTGACCCATGGGTGGTCACAGAGGGTAGCACCAGTTACACATCCTTAAAAATAGCACATTTTCACATGCATAGAACGAGTCTATACCATGGCCTAGTCCTTGGGTTTCATAAACTTAAAACCTGTCCTTGGTGTGTGGTGGTAACTTCTCCAATGTCTCGGATCAATTTTCATGCACTCTCTTTAAAGCCTGCCACAACAGATGTACTTTCAGACAGTTTTACTTATCCAAAAATGTACTGGCTTCATGTACAGTTTTGAAGCATGCTCACTCTAGCACTGATAGTTCCTGCATAGTCATAACAACTGTAAATACAGGACAAACACACCAGATAATAACAGCTTTGAGGGTTTGTATTCTGTATTTGTTTGCAACATACAGGAAATCTCAGCAAGTGAAACACCTCTTAACACCAACAGGATAAAATACAATTTTTATTGTGTTTGTTTCAATTTGTGCAAGTTTGAAATATTATTATTTACAATACCTACCCAGTAGACTGTGCAAATCTAACCTTCTTTTACAGTATAAACGCTTTCTCTTCCACAGTGACTGTACTGCTTCAGTGTTCTTTAATGCTGAATTTCTCACGTACAACAATAGCAATCAAAACAACATGCGTCCAAACTAATTTAAAAAAAAAAATAAAGAATAGGGAAGGAAAGCCAAATAGTTGTGCTCATGCTGCATCTAGCATTTCCAGCTCTGCTGGATCAAAATTCAACATCTCCCACCTTCTGAAACTCTTTCACTTAGAACTGGATGGAATTTAGCCACATATTTTTGCTTTTTAAGTGACGGTCAAAGAGGGTTTCTAGGGTACTCAAATCATTTGGAGGATAGGCAAGGCAATCTACTCACAAGGTAAAAATACTGATCTTTCTCCTATCCATTTCTTTAAAAAAAGAAAGAAAAAGAAAACAATATAAAGAGATGAGGCTGCTGTGTTAACTGGTGTTGCTTGATTGTAAATGAAAAGACAGTGGAAATTACCAATGGTTCAGGATTTAAACCAACTATTAAGTTGTTGTAGAAATCTGTTTTAAGGCAGTGAGACAGCACCATAGGAAATGTTCCTTCTTTCACTGAAAAGGCTCAAACAAATAAAGCCCTAAAAAAGCCTTTTGTCAGTGTTGACTAATAATTGGTATAAAACTCTTGTTAAGGGAGTGGGCAGGTGGTTTAAAAAGACCACTGTGGTAAAAACAACCTTATAAAACCTGTGACTCAGACACTAAAAAGTTGGTGGAGCACATCATGAGAACATGGCAGTTAGAATGAAGTTGGCACTTCTCCAGTTTGCCACAGTAGTGTTCTTCTAGTGGTTGCACAATTCCATTTGTGCTTACAGAGGACTGGCCTCTCAGATTCATTCTGGAATGGGGTGAGCACACAACACAAACACTACTGGAGCCCTGTGACCAGCACCATGTGGCACAAAGGAGGTTGGACAGATCAGAAGAATGGACCCTCCCTGGGGAGAACAGACCCTTGGAGGAAACAGAAGGAAGGGACAAAAAAAGGTTTTCGTTGTAAACTTTTAAAGAGGAAGAAAATAACGTCCAGTTTGGCTAACTCATGTGCAATCTGTTTAGTTGCCCTGTCATTAGGGTCCTTTCTAGTTGAGCAATGGAGCTTTCTATTACTCCATGGATATAAAAATGCCTGTTCCCATTTCAATTTAGCATCTTGGCGGTTTAGACTTGCTCTGCTGCCTCCTTGGCGACCACGACTCTGGGTCAGGGCCCTGGACAGGGGACTTTTCATACTGGCAGTGGTTTAGTGAAAATACCTTTGTTTTTAAACACTTTTTAAAAGCATTGTCTTTTCCCCTAACTTTTTCACACTCTAGAGGGTGGATTCAAGAGATGAATCCAAAATGTCTTCATGGTGGCTGGTGCTATCACTGTCGCAGCTTTGTGTGCCCGAGTAATTGGCTGCTTCTTGGAGTTTCATTAGCATATTCATCTGAAAAAAGAAAAAGAGACATCTATGTAGGCAATGATGCATTGAGTCAGCCAGCCGCAGAACAAACACGGCCCTGAGCCACACTGAAGAACCATTTTATCCCATCCAAGTGAAATGGGCAAACAGTTTTGGATTTTCACTCATTGCCCCTGGCCACTGTTTCTCCCAAATATGACTACAACACCAAACCATAAGGACAAAATACAGCTGCTAGATAACTCTTTCATTTGGGGCTGTGAATGAATACTGCTCCAGCAGGGAGACTGGAAAGGAAACTGTATCACAGCTGGACATCTGGGTTAGTTGCTGGAGAGGAAGCCAAGCTTCCCAGTTTTTTGGCTGGGAGAAGCAGAAAGAACTGAATTGCAACTGAAAGTCATGAATGTTCATATACACACAGATGCACACACAGGCACGCACACAGTCCCTTGAGAGAAGGAGGGGACGGAGTGGAATGAAGCCAGCTGCTGCACACAAGCACACCATCTGCTGTTTAGGAGCTGACCTCCTGAGGAGGTGACTGAATGAAGCAGACCATGAGCATTTAAAGAGGGAGAAGGAAAGAATCCCTGTCAAGTTTTTGTTGTCATTGAATTTCTGACAGAAATATGATTGATATATCACTAGAAACAAAAAGCCACCTTCTGGAACAGTAGCGGCTGTCTCAAGTTTCCCAGCTTTATAGGAGAATGGTAACGTTTGCTCTAATAAAAGGGACATGCCCGAGAGCTCTTGAGGAGAAAGGCAGCTATCCCATGTTTTATAAAATAAAAGGCAGTCACACTGCTTGGATTTTGATAGATCTGCGACTCCACTGTTAAGAGGTAGAAGCCAGAAAAAGATTGTTTGAAAGCAAATTATGGATAAATCGATAGCTCCACAATGTTAGAAAGCACAGAAAAATTGACACCTGTCTTCATGAAGGGTGTTAATTTGTTTTCTTTCCAAGAGTTACTATACATAATAAACTTTATATTACTCACCTACTATTTCTATTGTTTTATACAGTAATCAAAGTTGTTCTTTTTCTTCCAACTTAGAAAAATAGAAAGTATTCTAAAACAGGCTATGCGTGTTTGTATGCTGTGTAAAATTTGTGTTCAATAAATGTGAGTGAAAGAAATGATAAACTGGTAATCACCAATTTCAGCCAGAATGCCTTTCTAACAAAGAGGCTACAGTTGTAGAATATGTTGAAGTCATTTCCATAATCTTCAGGGCAATATTTTCAATCTAATTTTTAGTCTGTCTCTCTGAGTGTATTAAACCAGCTACATAAGGATATGAAATGAAAGTAGTTGGTGATAACCTCTCAAACCTGTACACCAAGTCAAATTTATCCCTTTTGTCATATGTGCACACACATCTGCACCCCTTCAAGCAAATTCACATTCCTTACCCCTTTTCTTTTGTCAATCCATCTGTTGCAGTGTGCTCAAGCATTTAGGTAAAACTGACTTGTAAAAAGAACTGTGTTTGGAGACCCTTCCAATTAACTAAGAGCAAAAATGAGGTCTGTTTGAACTGATATGATTATACCTCTGTCATAAATGTTTGTAAACAACTGAATGCTGATTGTTGTTAAAATTTTATGGTGTAATAATACTGTTATTAAAGTCTTAAGTTTTGAAAATGATGCCATATAAATTCCAAATCTCAGATTTTTAATAAATATATACAATGAGGCTTATTTTGCCTTCTCGTAGTGTTGCTTTATGTACTAAAATCAAAGGACATTACAAAAGAAAGGTAAGTTTATTTATGATTCAGTTACTATTGTGATTCCTTATAATCTGCAAAAAGTATTTCCCTCCTTTATTCTCCCATTTCTTCCTTAAACTGGTAATCATTATAGTGTATCATCCCTAACATATCTCAGGTCCTCCTCACCCTGGTACTTACAGATCTTCTTGTTCCTCAGCCTCCATTCTGTTTCTGTCCTCTGCTCTGTTACCAAAGTGATTTTTAGAAACTACAAATATAACTAGATAATCCCCCACTCAGAAATCTTTATGGCTCTTCATTGTCTGTGTGATAAAGTTTTAACTTCATGCAAAGACAACAAAGACCAACACGTAGCAATTGTATATTTCTGCAGTTTTAATTTTTCCTATTAATATGTATATAGCTCCCTAATTCTTCTTTTTTATTATACTGTTTTGAAATGTTTCAAATGCTTTTTCCTTAATTTTGGATATTCTTGATCCAACCATATGATAAACTCCTATTCATCCCTCAAGACCCAGCTCAAGCTTCTTATTAGGAAGATTTTTTCCTAATTGCTTCCTCAATGGACTCACAACTTTATCTAGAATGTGTCTCTATCATTATTATACTTCAGTTTATGCAGGTAGATGTCTAGATCTAATACCTGGCTGTTAGAATTAAAGGTCAGAAAGGGTAATTTACACACTGATCATTATATCACAGCACTAAGAACATATTCAATAATGTTGAATTATTCATGATGAATGTACATTATATTTTTTAAATAATGTGAGATGCTCCAAAAATTGCATCTTTGTTCAGATTCAAAGTGAAACCTCTGATGTTAAACAATAATTATATTTCTGTCAGTGTTCTGATTTACAATGGACTGAAAATACATTTTGCTTTATGTCACTAAATGTAGACACATATAGAAGTAAAAGCAGAGAATACTTATTTTTCCTTATCAGAATGTACCTGATGCAAAGATTTATTTTTAAATCATATTGTTTGTATTTTAGCATAGATGAGATAATAATTCCTTCTTTATTAAGATGTTTATTAGAATGGCAGATTGGGAGCCAGGACTTTTTATCGATTTTCATATCAGAATGGGAGACCATGGGTGTTTTTCTCATACTGGAAAACCAGAGCATTAAAAACCAGGAGAGAGTGCTTACTAAGGTTAGCCAACCTGTACTACAGACACTGGGAAGGTTGAGGGCATTTCCACAGGTTTGCATACTCTACAAACTAATACTGGAAAAAGTCTTAGAAACAGAGTCTTTACCTGTTATATCAAAACTGTAGATACTGGACTGGAATTTGTTAAAATTCCAGATTAAATCATCTAAACTTGGATTTAAAATATGCTCTAACACTTATATTTATTTAATTTATTCAAATTTAACCACTCAATCAGAAATTGTTTTGTGTATGCTCAAAATTATGCTGGATTCAAACAATTCCACTACCACTGTTTGTTGATTTCCATGAATCATCTAAAGGGCCAGGTACCATATCATAAAAGTGTAAGTCTGAGCCCTTAATGAATTATCTTAGAGCAGATATCTGAAACATAGGATCTTTGGAGTCTAAGGAAGCCTTTGCATTATATTTCAATGATTTCGTGGAATTCTAGAAATAGTATGCATAATTTTCTCTGTGCATGCATCTCACTGTGGAAAGATCTTGAAAGCTTATCAGATTTTTCCATATGTGACTCCCAAAATATTAAGAATGATCATGATATATGTGTTGGGGTTGTTGATATAAGAGTATTCCATAATATAAAGTCACTTTATGACCCTGAGTATAGTCATGGGTTATAATTTTTAATTATTTCTTTTCTGTGTTTAAGTAACATAATGGATTTTATTTCTATATCGCTCCTTTCTGTACTGGTTTTACAAATCTAATCAGATCTTTAGTCATAAAATGGTAAGCTAACAAATACATTACATTTGATACCAACATATAGATATTAATTTATAAAAATAAAAAGAAAGGTAAATAAAAAGCAGTCTTTATTACTAATGACACTATATACTGAATATTTTCAGAATATTCATACTTTGGAGTTTAACAGACTTATTCAAATTACTGTAGTATTTTAAAAACTAAAACTATACACCTATGTAATTGAACAAAGCAGAGAGAATAATTTCCCAGTCAGTTTATCTTTCCCTACTGTAGGGAACAGAAGACTAATGATAAATTTAATCAGGCTAGTTGATATATATAACTATCCTTTAGTTTTCCAAGTGTACACCAAATTATACCCTTTTTTTGCTTCTTTCATCTAAGAACAAAATTCAGTTTGCTCTTAAATGCCTAGTGTATTATCGTATTTTAAAAATTTATTTAATTATTAACACATTTAATGTATGAGAAGAGGAAAATTACAGTCATGGAGTTTAACGTGGTCTCAGAATTTCTTAGTTATTTTTAAACATAAAATGTTTGGTTTTTCTTTTTAAGAGTTTCATCCAATGCAGGCAGGTTGAAGGTAAGTAAAAGAGTTAAAACTGAGTACCAAGATCAGGACAATTCCACATATTTCCAGGAATAATTTGAGTATTACCTGAATAACAGATGACTAGTGACCACATACAGATGTCAAGATTATATGGAAGAATCAAGTGTCTGCTCCTTACCAGAGGGTCCCCTTCCGTGTCAGTCTGAGGAATGTGCTTTGAGGTTGTGGCTTCCTTAGCAGATGTGCAACCCTCATACCCAACATCTTCTGGTCGCAACTGAAGTAATGCAGGGCCCTCCTGAGGTTGAGATACTGAGCTCCATGGGTATGTGTCAAGGACCCACTTTGAGGGATCTTCCCATGGTGCACGCTTCCCATACATCTAAAAGATGACCACATAATTGATACATATAAAATTCATTCCTATTAAGTAAAAATGTGACAACAAATTATCTCTTTTTCACATGGAGTTCTGATGACACTTACTTATAGAGGAATTAACTACCCATCTATAATCTTCCAGATTTTAAGCATGTATCTTTTTTTTAATTATTCATTTAATCACATGTGCATACACTGTTTGGGTCATTTCTACCCCCTACCTTCCGCCTTCACCCTTTCCCCTCTTCCCCCTCGCTTCCAGGCAGAAGCTGTTCTGTGCTTTTCTCCAGTTCCGTTGATAAGCAATAATAAGAAAGACACAGCATTTTTGCTAGTTGGGATAAGGACAGCTATACAGAGAGATTCCTAGCATTGCTTTCATTTAAGCATGCATCTGTCTACATATTTCACTTAATACTTGAAGGCTAATATGGAACACTGAAACCTACCAAAGTCATTTTAAGAAGGAGGAAAGGGAAAAGGGAAAATCATGGAGGGGATGTACCGAACAAGTGTACATTGAACACATGTATGGACATGTCACAATGAAACCTTCTACAACTCTTATATACTAATAAAAGTGTTAAAAAAAACCTTGAAGGCCAAAATAAACTGAACATCTGGCTAGATAATCAACATTTGGTAGCGAATATGAGGGAGGCTTTCATGCAAAAGTAACTATTCACATTTGGATTTATTAGTAATTTTGCAAATCCAGAGAAGCCTCAAGGTTGATAAATAAAAGCTCCAGTTTTGGAGCTTTGAAAAAATTCTACGCTCATCATAAACACACTTCTCTACTGAAGTGAGTTTTGGAAAGATGATGACTAATGTGATTTATTTTTTCTCTAATTCACTCTACTCAAACTTTCTTTGAGAGCAACAATTCTTTCTGAGATAACAATTTTCTTCCAATTAAGTTCCTCTAATAATCACATTGCCTCTCTTAAGAACTCTTTTGAGATGTTTATATATAAGGTCATTGGGAAATAGGAACCGAAGTATCAGTTTTATAAGAATTCACATGGAAAGCAATGACCCCAATATGAAAGATAAGCCAAGTGCAGGTGGCTTATCTGAATCTTAGCTGCTTGGGAGGTGGGGATCAGGAAGATTTTGGTTTGAGGCCAGATCCCATCTCAACCAAAACATGGGTGTGGTGGTGTACACTTATCATCCCAGCAATAGCAAGAAGTGTAGGGATCATGGTCAGACTGGCCTGGGAAAAATGTGAGACCCTATCTCCAAAACAACCAGAACAAAAGAAGGGCTGGACATTTGGCACAAATGGTCAAGCACTTGCCTAGAAAGCATGAAGCCCTAAGTTAAAACCCAGTACTGCAAAAATAAGTAAATAAATAAATTAAATTAAATGAAAAACATAATAAAGCCTGGTTAAAGCACTAGCAGTGAAGTAGAAGAGAAATGAGTACAAGAGATGCTCAAAGTTTTTTAGCTAGAAGCAAAACTGAAACCAAAGTGGAAAAGGGACACAGGAGACAGGTTGATAGCATTTTGCAAAGAAAAATATAAGATCACAAGTAGCACAAGAAGAAAAGTTACGAGCAGGAGAAGGAGATGTTAATGTAATTCCTTTCCCTTCTTGACCGGCACCACTAGAACAGTCCTGGTTACCAGGTGCTTATTTAACCCCAGGTGACATCCAGTGATTTGTCATGCTATAATGGGTTATTCTGCATGGCTTCTTGTGGTTCGATGAGACAAAAGCAAAATGTGGACACTTGACAGCACGAAAAGTCCACACAATAATGCAGATGACAGAATACGGAAAATATGAACTATATCTTAATTCTAGCAGTTGTGAAACCAGAAATAAAAAAGTCTTAAGTGAAAAACACTTAAATCCTGGATGAGTTATTGAAAATGAGATTGGATTCTTACACAATAAGTTAGGTGATTATATAACATAAATCTGCAAGAGCTTTTTAATTCTACAATTTCATATCCAATTTAAAGAAATAGCAAGACTGATGGAACGTGGATAAAATATTTTGTTAAAGAAACAGGGTTTTCTCATTAAGGGATATATTTTCACTTCCTACTTAAGCATACACAGATGGGATGGTTGTAAGACCTCATAATACAAGGCAGATGAGAACAACAGCAGAGATTCTGCTAAACTAACCTGTCCCAGATGGAAAAGGCCAACTGACTTTCTTAGAATTTAGAGTGCTCCTTCAAAAACAGTAAATGATCTTTCAAGTAGTGTTAAAGGGCTCTAAACCATGAGATACACTAAAATCAGGGGAATAACCTATGAGCAAATTATTTGATAAGAGTATAAATGGTGAAGGCATATGTAAACATGGCTGTGTCATAAAATATAGAACGGTGAAATTAACTGGCTATTTAATAAGAACAGTCTAGATACCCACTGTGACAAATTTGGCCTTAAATGTACAGTTATTGGAAGAATTGTGCTTACTTTTTCCCTTACATACTTGTTGCTGTGACAGGAAAAATATTGTACACTGGCTGTTCTTTATTTCTCTATTTATATTTCATGCCTTTAGTTTTCTGCATAGACATCCAAAGAAACAGTTACTCTTTGCTTTTAAAAGAAAGGGTTTTTTTTTTTTTTTTTGCTTTATTTAAAGAGTAATTAAAGAGTAATGCAGATTGAGTACTGTACCTGAAGACCTTCTCTCACTGCCTCCAGAATATAAGGTACCAAAGAATAGTTCCAGAGATCCATGAACCACACTCTAGAACCTTCTACATCCATAGGGCAAGAAAGGAAAAGTCTAGGACCTGAGAAGACACAAAAACCAAATATATCTGAGAAGTAGCATACTTACCAATCTAAACATATATCTAGATACCATTTTCACAGACACAATGTACTTCTCGAAGGATTCTTAGAAAGTTATAATCTTGACCAACTGAAACACTATTAAAGTATGTTTATTCACTAACTCTCCTGGCCTCTCCTTTTTATCCACAATAAAATTTAATATAAAGCACAACGTATTAGAGTTAGGAGAAATAGCAAAGGTCATACTCCAGTCAGCCTGCCGTACTTTACAATGTGAAATTCAGCTGTACTGGCATGAATAGCTGAATATAAAATATGTCATCCTCAGCATCTGGTCTCAGCAATAGATATTCTGATTCAAAAATAGAATTCTTCATCATGTATACTGTGTCTGTAAAGAGTATGTGTTTATGATCCATGTCAGTGCAAAAGGGACTTGTGCATATGTCACACAAGAAGGAATAAAAAACATCATAAACCACGAAAGAGAAGCAACTCAGCCTTGTCTTCATGATTCATGAAAAATATAAAACACTGAAACTATTTACAAAATATGTAAATTATCTTTAAAATCTTCTTCCACAACTACATTTGATATGAACTAGTTGCTAAAATACACATTTACTTTGAATGACTATCTGGTTTTTAGATATTTGTCTATATCAAATTTCCTTGATCTTAGTAATATTTTAGTAAACCACAATTGTCACAAAAATAATTTAATGGAAGATACAAAACTTAGAAGAAGACAAGCTTTTAGAAAGGAAAAAATTTGAATCTTTGAAGCTTTGAAGACATTAGCTTTGCTTGTTATTCTCTCCCATCCAATCTGGCTACCTTCACCAAGTACTCTTAGTTCCTAGAAAATGGCATATTGTCATTTTGGAACTTACCAATGGTAACATCAGAAGAACTGTGCGTTTCCAAAAAACTATTGAGATGATGCCATGTTTTAGGGATCCAATCTATAATTTTGACTAGGTCATTATTGCGCATGTTCCTTTCAATTTCCATCTCTATGAGTTTCCTTCGAAGATATCTCCCTAAAAAGCCTTTCACTGGTTCTGTGTGGTTTGCACATAATACCCATCTACAAAAAGAAACAAAATCACAAAGTTTTATATAAATTACCTGTTAATTCCATAGCAATTTCCATTCCAATCTAAACTATTAAGGTTCCTGTATTAGCTATGTCCTCATTTTAATGTTGCAAAGGGTTGAAGTCTATTAGCTTTGGAGTTATAAGTCAGAAGCTCCACTTGCTGAGCTGGAGAAGTGAGTGTGCGTCAGAGTTCACATGCTGAGCTGAGCACTCTTCTGTAGGAGAATCTCAAGTCCTGAAATAGGAACTCTCTTTACATTCCTCACACTTAGAAGAAAAGTGCTCTACTTTAGCTGAGGACAGAGTGAGCAGGAAAAACATTTCTGTTCTATTTTTTTTAAAGAAACACTTGATTACAAGTTTGGGAACAAAAATTGTCTTCTTGAAAAAGTGTCAGAGAAGTGAGAATTATTCTCACATCACAGGTCATCACAGCATTTGTCAATGAACAAATGGAAAAATAACCCCCAAAAACAAACAGAAAGAGGCAACACTTTAAAAGATGAAAGAAAGAAGAAAGAAAGGAAGAATGACAGAAAGAAGGAGGGAAGGAAGGAGGGAGGGAAGGAGGGAGGGAAGGAGGGAGGGAAGAAAGAAAAAGAACTCCTTCAACTTATCTTTACCTGAAATTGTGATGAAGCTCTAGATTGGGTGATGAAGAAACTCCCTGATTCATTGTTCCAATAATATATGGACTAGGAAAGACAGAGAACAGAAAACGTAGATGTACTAGAGGTAAAAATAGTTAATACATCAAATTGTCTTAGAAACACTTAAGATAAATATGAATTATTCCATTTTAACAGTAGCTTTAAGGGAGTCATTTTGTAATGCTAGATTAGAAAAATGAGAAAGATAACTGGAGTAGAAATGACTACTGGGATTCTAATTTCATTTCTGGTATTGAGGTGAGACATTTTCTCTCTGGGAGCCTTAGTTTACTTACATAAAAATAAAAGAAGATTAGAATAATTACAATGGTCTTATCCACTCTAACATCTTATAATTCTTTCAACATATAATCAAATTCATTAATTTCTCCTTTTAGTGTTTTATAGTTATTTTATAGGTTATTAACGTAAGAGGATTTATATTCTTCCTTTAACCCTTATTTTATGCTGATGTGTTTACAATATTTTTATCACTACCACAGATTAATTGAAGTATCTGACATCATTAAAGGTAATGTCATTTATGTTGTCTTCTTATGTGCCCTTTCTTTAGAGACTATGCTACTTTGAATCTTAGTAGGTTTTCATATTATTATTCCCTATTTTAATGTTTTTTCATTGTAAATTATAAAATCATAACATTATTGAAGTTGAATGAATTAAACTTATCTCTAGAAAAATGTTGAATTTAAACTTTGATAAAGACTAAGAATAAAACTCGAACTCCAAAATGTCCTTCTAGTTACTATGGTTTTTGATTCAAACTATTCAATCACTGACAGTGGTGTTCCAGACTCCCAGCACATCTGTGAAGCTAAAATCATCGATGAAGTAATGTTTTCATAAAAGTGCCTATGACATAGTTATGATAGATATTCTAAGGAATATATGTGAATTCTTTGGAAATATGTTATAATATTCACTAGGGATTCTCATGTTAATGGCATCCAGTATAGGTATAAAAATATTAAATATTAAAAATCATGATTTTTTCATATTCAATTACTCAAAATATTTTATAAACATACCATTTGTTGTATTTACAGTTGAGAAAACCATTGAAGATATCACTCAAAGAGCCCACATGATGAAGGTTATCAAGAATTATTACAACAGGGAGCTCTACACCATTATTATCAGCACTGCACTGCTCCGCCAAGTTAGCTAGATACTGCTGTAATTCCTTTTAAAAAAATAAAGAAAACAAATACGTAAAAGATGACTATATCAGTGACAAGCAAATAATACAGTGCCTTTTATCCAGTCTTTTCATTAAAATTATAGAATATTTTACTGTACAGAAACATTCCACTGAGCAAAAAAGCATTTGAGAGGATTTTATTTTAAAGGGAAAAGGGAAAGTAAGAATGGTGGAGCCAATACCTGCAGCAAATATAAAATTGCAATTGAAGTGGTTTTCTCCCAGTAAGGAAAGCCCAAATGAGTTCTAGATGTGAACTCTTACGGTAAACCATCAATATTGAGACTTCATTATTATTTTTGATATTTCAATAACTAAGGTGGAATTTTACCAAATTTTTAACTTTGCTTATAGACTAAACCCAAAATGGCACCTCTCAGTTTCCATTAGTAGTTTTTACATTTCCATTCTAATTCATGTAGATAGGTTGCATCTAATAGTGCAGCTCAGGACTCTCATAAAAGTATGGATGATTAATTATGTATTTATAATCTGCAGGCAACTGCTGCAATTTTAAAGAAATATTTGCTATATTTCACTGGGTCATGTAACAACATTCATAGTACTTCTTGAACTTCATGGTTCTTTTACATGTATTATTCTAGCTAATAACTTTTAATCTAAATATGATAACCAGTTCTCTGATTGTTCTCACAGACGGGTAGGCCAGGAACATAATTAGCTTTCTTAGAATTATCCTAATCACTAAGAGCATTTCTATAATATTTGCATATTTACAATGACATTTTCAATTTGTAAATCTTGCTCAGGGTTAAAAAAACAATTCCACGATCCCAACTTCTGGCATCCAGGAAAATATGTGAAGCACTTTCTATAGGTGGTTCTGCTAGAGTTACCTCACTCAGTAAGACAAGTTTTAGAGCTAAAAGTAGAAGGGGATAGGGCACGGAGATATATTTTAAGTATAAATCAAAATTTATTTTAAAAATTAAGACACTATTTGATACTGATAAGTATACTATAAAATAGGGTAGAACCAGTCACCAGGCATTTCCTTTATCTTAAAGGAAAAAAATGAGATTTCTATCATTCATCTAGCTATACTAGGCCATTCATTCAATTATAAAATATTCACTCTCTAATTTGTTTATAGCCTTAGATCCCATGCTAAGGTGTACTAAAATAACAAAACATTATTCCCACTATTATAGCATAAGTCTAACATTTATTATGAGTATATCTAACATGCAAGTAACACTTATCATGAACTGCATCAAGTACTTTTCTAGTCATGGAAGTTAAAAAGGGTAATCTTACTGGCTTCATGTAGGTTCTAAAAATTATCACATTAGGGGCTAAAATTTAAGTTTGGTAAATCACTTGAATATAATACAATGAGTGTATTATGAGCTTTGAGAAATCAAGGGTGTGAGTGTCAAGGACACTCTGGAGCATTAATTCCTCCAGAATTAATGCTAGAGCTTGGGGTGCAGGTAGGCATACACATAATTAATGAACTTACAAAATGCAATGCAAAACATTTCAAGAGAGAGAGACTAAAGGAGGTCTGTCTGTAGGAGAGCAAGGTTAATTCTGACTGGAGGATCCTGATGCCTAGGGAGGTGGCATTTGAGATGAATCTTGGGTAAAGGGGAAAATTCCAACAGACAAGTTAGTTATTCATTATTTCAGCACACCTTTATTAAACACTGTGTCACACACAGTGGCCCCAAGGATGCAATGACAAAACATAATTTTCCCAATTCAGGAAAATTGACAGTTTATTACCAAAGAAGCAGACCCAGAAATGCACCACAATACCAGGTAGTTAAGGAACCATACAAAGCACCACAGAGAGATTTAAGAGGGGTATCTGACCAAGCCTTAAGGTTCATACATCAGGATACAGTGAAGAATAAACTTTTAAATCTAAAGAATAATAAGCAGAAGCTGGAAAGTATGAATACATGGTGTTTTCTGGAGAATAATAAGGATTCTGGTGTTGCAGGAGAATACAGTACATGCTAATGGTGTATGCAGTGAAAGAGAAAACAGAAAAGGCTTTGGATCCGTGCAGAGGAAATTAGATTTTGCCATAGAAACAACTGTGAACCATTGATATGTTTGTTTTCTTGTCTGTTGTCAGTAGGGGAGAGCAATTTATTTATCAAAGGAAATATAAATGTGAAGGATAAAATGACTAATTAGAAATGGAAAAAACATTCAAGAGGTTTATTACCTAGACGGTTAGGAGCATACATATATAACTATAATTAACAGTTAAAAATACATTCCTTGCATAGACCAAAGATTTTGTTTTAAACCACATAAAGATTACTCATAGCTTCTGGAGGGCTTTCTGGTGGCAGTACAATTTGCTACTAATCCTTTATTTTTTAGGATTAGGTTTTTGATGCTTAAAAATGGAAGGATTTTTAAATTAAGAGGAAAGAATAATTAAAGTCAGGAACATGAAAATATGATACCCATACAGATAAGAACAAGTAGTTAGTTTTGTGAAAGTAAATGGCAGTAATTAAATTGGAAAGGACTACTACAATTTGAAATGATGGGTAAGAACATTGGATTTTTCCTTCTGGCAATATAGAAATACTAAATATTCTGGGGATATGATTAAAATAAAATTATGATTTAATGATGCAGTAAGTATATAGCAAAGGAAGAAGGGTGACCAGGCAAGAAAAACTGAAATTGTTGAAGTCAAGAGAAACTACAGGTCTGAACAGGGAACAGTGTGATATTTTTGATTAAGTGCAGAAAGCAATGGGAAAACATTGGAGGAACATAATGTGATCAGATTTTAATTATGAAAAGATACTCTATTTTCCATGATGTGAATGGATTAAAAGGGAAATTTCAGGGGAATTGTGAGTCAAACAATTAGAAACAATTGCAGAAGTCCAAGTGGGTGGGTGGGGTTATGGCAGAGATGAATGAAAAAGAATGGACTTCTGATGCATTGTCAGAGCTGAAACGATCATTTCTAAACATGTAACTTCAGAAGATGAACAGAAACACACTTGTCAGTTAACAGAAAGCTTAAAAATTAGGGAGAATGGGCATTGTTAATAGTGTTCAATTTGTGTCAACCACACAAATCAACACATTTGGAAGCTATGGAAATCATCCAGAGAACAAAAGTGAGGAAGAATAGAATCTGAAAAATACTTTCACTTATGGTAGGTGAAGGAAGAAAAGTTAGTGACAGAGACTAAGAAGGAACTTACTAAGGAAGTAAGAAGGAAATAAGGAATAATTATGAAAGTTAAAAGAATTTCCATAAAGGGGAGGTCAGCTATCACAGCATGATATAAGTAAGCAAGAGCCGAAGCAACGAATATGGTAATTAGGAGGTCACTGGACAAGTGGAACCATTAGACTGTTACTGTTATGTGGTTTGCTTTCCTCTTGGTAGTAGATCCTCTGAGAATCTAATGAAAGCTATGAATCAGTCAGATGTAGAACCAGATAGAAAGAGTTTTTCATATTACTTATGGCTTTTCTCAGACCCCTCTGAAGTCATTCCATGATCCTCCTCTAGTTTGATGGGGGATGATATCTTAGACTAAGGTATTGATGCATTAGCATTAAAATTCTTCACAACCATATCAAGTTATATAGAAAAAAGCTGGGATATACACAAGATGGACATTGTCAATGAGATGAATCCTGCATCTGTACCTTGGGATGTAGACAAAACACCATAGTTATATAAAAACTATTGATCATTGCTTTCTTTGATTTTGACTCTGGACACACTAAAAATGAATGTGCCAAGTCCACTTTTCCGATCTCCGCTGCCCTCCCCAACCCCCGCCCCTACAACATTGCAAGTGGCTTCAGCTGGCCACATATTCTTTACTAAATCTATCTTCAGCCTTCTGGGCCTGTTCTATCAAATGTCACAAAGTGTAATTGTTCATGTGCACTGCTCTCAATCAAAATATTCCAGCTGGCAACTTGAGGGAGTGCTTGAAGTGTGGGAAGAGGAACAGAATGTAAAATGCAGAGGTACCAAAAACATTGAAAGAATTTTTCTTTCATTTGTTGGCTTATTGTTTGAATTTCTTTTCCTTCCTTTTTTTTTTTTTGGATCAGCAAGTGCTTTTTGGTTGGATCTCTTCAATGCTTTCTATGGCATAGCATAAAACATATCAGCAATTACACAGCTCCATTTTTTTCAGTGAAAGGATTTATTATTTTGTGCCCCATTACTATTTTACTTTAGTAAGTCTATATGGTTAGCAGCCACTCCAACACAATCTCAACTTGTCATTCCCTCATCTTTTATATCACTCTCACATACGCCCACACCCAGCTTCCCCCTCCAAAAAACCAGTGTGAATGCTCTGTAAACTTGAAAAAAATTAGTCACATCCTTTGCATGCATTACTGACAGCTCATTCATGTCTAACAACCATAAAGAAACAGTACACATTTTTAGTTGTATTTTGTGCTTTTTTTGGTAATGAATGCTGTAAGATTTGCCCATGGGTTTCTTCCTATTATTGTTTGCTAGCACCATTAGTTCCATTCACACACTCCTGGCAATGCTTTTTTCCCCATTATTTTGCAATAGCAAAAATTAATCTGACTTAATAATGTTATCAATGACTTTTTTTTCTGAAAAAGTAGAAAATATAACAGAATATTTCTAAGTACTAGACATTTTTGAGCAAAAATACATATAAAACATCTTATACATTTTATAATTAATGAAAATCACCTGTTTTAGTGTATCAAACTACATCTTAATGAAGCTCAAAGTTAATTTAATTCAGACCTTATACTAAGTGATCTCCAATGTAATCAAAATGCTTTGGTCTCTGTAACACATCTATTTTACTTATCTTCTAAACACTATGTTTTAAATTCAAAGAACTTGTAAAGAGTTATGGGATATCAACATTGAGGACAAACCAGAGAATACTCAGGATGCCTAAGAGACCTCAAAATCCTTACATCTCCTTTGACTGTGTAAAAATGGATTTTGTGTAAAGACAGATATAAGGAGGTAGGACCACAGGAGGCAATGAATAAGGAGGCTGAAGTAAACAAACAACTGTGTTCTTCCTCTTTCAGCTTAGAGAAGAGTCAAGTATTCTACCTCAGGTTTGAAGTCTGTTTTCAGTTGAAGTGACACTGAATGGATCAATCACAATTTGAATAGTGCTGAATAATAAAGAAATACTCAGAATTCATGGGCTATATTTATTCAACTTTTAAGACATCCCATTATACTTTATGTACATCATTTGTTCCTTTTGAAGAAAAGATAAATTTTTTTTGGTGATATTGGCATTCAAACTCAGGGTCTCACACTTGCTAGGCAGGCTCTTCATCACTTGGGCCACAACTCCCGCCCTTTTTCTCTGGTCATTTTGGAGACAAGGTTTAATTTTTTGCTTAGGTTGGCCTGGATTGGTATCATATTTTAAGTTTCCCATGGTCTTCAGGATGACAGGCATGCACCCCCATGTTCAGCTTTCTTCCTTTGAGATGGGGGTCTCAGAAACATTTTTCCCTGGCCTGGCTTTGTACCATGAATCCTTCAGATTTCACTTTTCCAAATAGCTAGGACTATAGGCATGAGCCACTGGTGTCTGACAGCCACGATACAAATTTGAACATAAGTGTAAGAGTATGTGAGTGTGTGTATATGCACAAGCACAGGGAACCGCCATTGGAAGCAAAGGCTGTAATTAATAACTGAAAGTAAACCTTACTCTATGCTTGCTACTTTTGATGTTCTGTCTCTGTCTCTCGCTCCCTCCCCCCACCTATACCGTCATTAGTCTTTACTTCAACTCTGCTATTTCCCTCATTTTTTATGGATAAGAAGACAAAGTGAAACTGCAAGGATATTCAGTAATGGCTCCTGAATTCCACAACAGATCAGTGTTAAAGACTTAATGAACTGCTCCATTGAGAACTCTTTGTTTACTAAGCTACATGTCTGGTTTATTTTAAGAATTCAACAGGTTTAGGGTAATATTTATTTATTACTACTTGTAAATATGAGGTTTTTGATTGTTATGGATTGGATATGCAGTCTTTCCAAAAGGCTCATGTGTTAAAGGCTTAGTTACCAGGTGATGGGTTTTGAGGAAGTGATTGGATAATTAGTGTGCTAACCTCATCAAAGGATTAATCCACTGATGAGTTCCTACTGAAAAAGCTAGTAGGAGGTGAGGCTTATTTAAAGGAAGTAGGTTATGGGAGGCATGCCTTTAAAGGGTATATCTTGTCCCCCAACCCCTCCTTTCTCTCTCTCTCTCTCTCTCTGCTTCCTGGCTACCATGAGGTAAGCAGCTTTGCTCTGTCATGCCTTCCTGTCACCATGATATTCTGCCTCACTGATATTGGAAAGACTGATTGTGATGCCAAGTGGGTTAAGTTCATTGGTTTTTTGTCTAGGGTCAGTCCAAGAATGATAAGCCCAGACAATGGGTGAGTAGCAAGCAAGAGAAAGTTTATTAAAGTACAGAAGGCAGAGCACCTACACGGATGTGGTCAGAAAGACTGAGCTGTTGCAACTGAGACATATAGGGGTTTTTATCTGGTTCTTAGGGCAGGTTTTGCAAGCCCCTGGAAACAGCTTTCTGAAAGGTTGGTCCTAGATTTTTTTTTTAAATAAGGTCCTGGTCCATTTTTCCTCTTTCCTCTGAAGTTGTTTGTCTTTAAATTTTAACTGCTCTTATTGCCCTCTCACATCTGGGTCCACATCCTGGTTACACACACAGGGGAAGTGCTGTCTTTGCTCTCTTGCCTCTCATTTGTGCCAGGCCCATTTCTGAATTCTCATGCTGTAGTGTCATCTCTGTTCTCTTGTCCTACTTCTGTTTTCTGGTGACTTCAGCCAGCTGCTTCATTCTGGCCCCCAACCCTGACTGTGTGAGGTTAAGCTAACTCCTAACATCAACACAGGCACATAGCTCACCATAGACTGAAACCTCTGAAACAGTGAGTTAAAATAAATCTTTCCCCCCTTAAGTTGTTTACCTGAGGTATTTTGTCACAGTTGCAAGAAACTGACTGAGAGACTGGATCAGAATAAATATTCAACCAGGTTATCTCTTAAAAAGTAGCATGATTCAGAACATCAGGATTCCATCAAGTTATTTATTATATAACACTTGCAGTTTCCAACAGCATATTCGGTGGAATTGCTTTAGAGTTTAACAAATAAAACTAGTAAATTTAGAATGATTTCCTTTTCTAGGACTCTTTAATTTACTCAGGATGTATGAAAGTACTAGCTAGGTTGTATAGTCCTTCATGCACCTCAGAATATCCAGTCTGATAAATATTGCACATAAGAGTTTAGTTGGAGGTGAAATGGAATACTGTTCAGTTTCCCATTTCCTAAACGCAATTCCTATAGAGATGTTGTAAGAGGCGCTCAAAAAAGAGTGCTTTTGTGAAAAGCAGTAACTCCTTACTTGGGCCCACAAATTAACTAAAAACAGGAAAAGCTTGGCATCCCAGTCTCCATTTTGTTTCTGTCTTTGTTCTAAGCTATTTTCTTTATAGTCTCTTTGCAATCACCTTGGGTTCCAGAAAAAGGATAAAACTGATAACATCTTTATGACAAGGGACTGAAAATTCCCATAAGGAACAGCGGAACATGCAGGACAGTCCACCCCTCCAAATGAGGACAATTACTTATAATGATGAGGTTGTACCATGGAGCAGAAATAATCAACTCATGGAAACCAGATTGCTCCCCTCAAGTGATGACAGTGATAACATCTCTGGAACCCCTCTGGGAACCCTTGGACTGATATAATGGTCAACCAGAACACACCTGTGACTGAGACTGTTTAACTACGCATACCTTTGTCCCCTGCCCCCAGTTCTTTTGTCTACTTAAACCTATAGCTCATGTCTGTACCCTGAAGATGGCTAAAGATGACCTGAGTGCTTACTCTGCGAGCTGTGTAATAAATCTCCTTTCTCTGCCTTCACCATGCCTCTTTACCTGGCATTTAGGAACAGTGGCTGGATCTGGCATATGGAATCTCAGGAGTTGGTTTCAAAGTGATAAGTAAATTGCTGCCTAGAATATTCTAATTATCCCCAAATCTACATTGCTGCAAGACTCCAGTTAATTCTTAACTGATCTATTAATAGTCAGACCAAGTATTACTGTTTTGTAAAACCCTGATGCCTTCAAGTAGGGTTAATTTTCCCTTTTGTTTCTCTAGCACTGTTGCACATATCTCTTTTTGCTCTAACACTTCCTAAATAAATGTCTATGAGAAATCAAACAATGAGGGCTCTGCCATTATATTTTGCATAATATCACTGCTTTTTGGAGTACCTGATAAGTGAATGTGATTGAAGATGGCAGTCTTGTTCAAATTTAAAAATCAAGTTTGTTCATCCCACCAGATTAAAGTTTTAGCCAAAAAAATAGATATTTTTCTATGTATACATGGAAGTCTCGCATAATCTTAAAACTTGATTGCTTAAGAAACTTATGGATAAATCATAGTTAGTATCGTAGGATTCTGTAACTTACCTTACTTGACTTGTGGTCCACATTAAAAGTGGCAATTGCATCCTCTGTCTTTTTCCTCCCAGATTTGGTTATTACATATTCAGCAAGTTTGTTTGCTAAATAGGTCTTTCCAGTACCACTTGGTCCTGAGAGTATAATTCTGTGATGCTCCATCAACAAGTTAAAGTACCTTTGAGTAATTGATTTAGGAATCAGTGTATCAAAAACAAAACTATCCAAACTGTTTTCTTCTACCCCTGAATGAAGAAACAAAGGGAACAGTATGCCTTATTGTTTTGCATAAGCTAGAATTAAAAAATATGTGGTCAACTAATAATAGAACTTTGTTAGTCATAGGAATGCAGTCCTTATAAAATAATTTTCTAGATATCTCTAGCCCACACATGTGTGTCCATTTTGAGACAGAAATATATCAGTGAGAGAGAGTGCAGTGTGAACATCCAAATGAAAGAAGCTACTTCATGTTTTCTACTCATATATCCACAGAAATGGAAGCATTATAAATCCTATCACAAAATTTTCTTTCTCTTTGAAAATGGTTAATATTTTTAAGAATAAATATGAAGTTTACATATATGTGTATGTATATGTGTCTTTTCTAACTTTTTTCCTCTTCTCTTAATTACCTTTACCTCTCACTAAACATCCTAGCTGTACAACTACCTAAGCTTTTGAAGAAAATAAATTATTGTTTGGCAAAGAAATCAGAAGGGAGAGCAACAGTATCTCTTTTTACTAACCTTATTATCTTAATCATAAAATCAAACATTGATGAATCCTTCTACTAACCCCCAGTTTATAGATGCATTCTTTTCTTGAACTAACACAAACAAGGAATTACTTCAGGTATTACATTAACCTTTAATTAGTTACAGCATGCAAAGCAAAGAATGTAGAATTTATTATCTCTGATTTCCAAATTTCATTTTCTATCCCCAATGGATATTTATTGAGTGTACATATTTTAAAATCCAATATACAGTGATGAATATATTACTTTGGAATGCACAACAGTTTTTAAATTCTTCTCTAGTGAAAGATGAGAACAGAGAAAATCTAGCAACTGAAATTCCCTAAATCACATTTCTTTCTTTGAATTTTGGTGAATCTTCAGAATTATATTTGCTAAGCTTCTAATCCCAGAACTCAAAAAGCTTAATTTCCTTGGATTTTAGTGCTTTTAGTAGGATTTTAGTTTCAAAAAATCAACATGGTCATTTCATAACCGAACTACCAAAGTGGTTAACATAGTTTAAAGATTAATGCAAATTAGAAAATTTGAAGGTAAACTGAAAAAAAAAAGAGGGGGAGGAGATATGAGTGAATAAAAAGTTACAATTGAGTTTGCTTTTTGATTTTAGTATTTTACCTTTCAGGTTCACAGTGATGATGTTATTATCCCCAACAAGGTATCCACAAGGCAGCAGTTCAGGCACTTCTAGGTTATGGGACCTAATTAAATCTCCTATACAGTAGCTAGCAATACAGTCAGAGCTCAGACCAAGACTAGAGGATGTATCAATTCGGAACACATATTCCTAAAATGCACACATGAAAAGTATGTCAAAACAGAGATTCTACTCATTTCAACAAATACAAAAGTCATGGTGCTCTAAAGTTGGTTGTTAAAAATTTTAGACATGGGTAATACAAGAACTGTTAATATTAAATAGCATAATAAGCGAATGTTTCCTTGTTTGAATGGAGAAGAAAGAAGATGCATCTGTGCTATTATAATTAAACAACTAAAAGTGAACCCATGAAAATTAACACCAGGCAATCTATTACAACTTACCTTAAAGAGACGTCTAATTACACCATCTAAGACATCCCACTTGGTTTTACCACTAACACCAATGGATCCTATCAAGTATGCCTGAGACTTCTGGTCCTTAATAAGAACAAAATAAAGAAAGATAAACTTCATTACTATATTTTCTACTAAAACTTATTAATATAATTGGTGATTGAGACTAAAGAATTTATTAAGCATGTGGGTTCAATATATAACACACATGGTGAGTTATATAAAATAAAACACATTCCAGCAAACAAAGCAACCAATCAAATGAAGTAATAGCAATAGTAATAACAACAGGAAAGAGATTAGATGAACTAGTATTCAAGGAAAACTGATTCATGATATTTCCAGTAGAAAGGGGAGGAGTAAGGGATAAGAAAGCATCACTTTGGGTTTTAGCACAGTGGATTCATTCCTAAGAGAAACAGCTTGGTAGAAATTAGTGAGATAGAATAGCATGATAGCATATGAATCTGAAACTTCATTTTATTATTTTATGATCTTGTCTTTGATAAGTGTATAACTCAGAAAATTTTCATTTTTAACTTTAATCCAAAATCCAATCTAACTTTAGTAAATAAGTAACCATGTGACTATAGGATTTATATATTTACAAAACTGGTCTAATTTTGAATTTATCAAAAATTCATTATTTATAAAAACATAGCAGAGAAACTTATAGGAGTCATTTTATCAAGCAAAGTATACTTTTACAATGCAAACCATGGTCTCAAAGCTGTATTTTTTGTTGATGGGTTTTGAGCAATTTCTATACATGTTAGAAAATTAAATAATTAAGGATTTGCAATTTAAATGATATCTATTTTATGCTGACTGGAAATAGTTACATGAAATACTGATTATGATTCCAATAAATATTAGCTAACACATTACAATTATTGGTTCTAGTTACCCAGTAAGCACTCATTAAAGGGTGAGAGAATAACCACTGAGTCAAGTGCTAGACAACATGGATTCTATAACACACAACATCTACCACCTAATTGAGAAATGTGGCTACATGTATCACTTTATCTGGCTCAGAGCTTCTATTTCTTCATTTGTAATATTTAACCCTATATGTATAAATGATCATCACCATTATCAAGATATAACCTCAGTTAGAAATCAGTACCTTTTTCAGAAAAAGTTGAGAAATTCACAGGTGTATGACTGTGGTATTTATTTTTTACTAATTTTATGGGCTAAATTTGTGAGTTATATGTTGAAACCCTGCCCTTTAATATCATAATATTTGGAACTGAGGCCTTTGAGAGATAATTAGGGTAACATTTCATGAGACCGAGGACATTTTAATGAGATTAATAACCTTAGTGTGGCATTTCTCTCTTTCCCTCCCATAGACACTGAGTAAGGCCTTATGAGAACAGAACAAGAAGTTCTATAATCCAAGGAGAGAGCCCACATCAGCAACCATAATGGCCAGTAACTTGTTCTTGGATTTGCCAGCCTCTGGAACTGTGAGAAAATAAATTTCTGTTGTTTAAACCATGCCTTCTATGGTATTTTGTTATGGCAGTTCTTGCACATGAAGACTACTACTGTCTTAGAAGCTTTATTAGAAAAAAATGTTCAAAGACCTTATCTTTAGAATAATTCTAGAAAGGAAAGCTTATTTTCCAACATGTTTATAATATAGTCAACATGTAGGCTTACACAATGCTTTATAACACTTGGTTTTAAATTAGTTTAGGTTGCACAGGGACTATTGCACATAAAAACCCTCTGGGGAAAAGTCCCACAAATATGCAACTCAACTGGAAAGTTTATGGTACTGGATTCCTTGGAACATTTGGTCAATGTGAAAACACACATGATACAGCTAACTTTTCAAACTTAAGTACTTCAATCATTTTAAACTTCTGAAGGAATTTTTTTGTTGTTTAATAGAAAAAATGGATACTTACAAATATACATTCTTGGCTACTAACTAAAAACTCAACTGAAAATACCTATTTAGCTTTAAGAAAGAGTTGGAGTCAAATGACATTACCAATTTGAAAGCAATATTTGAAACCAAAAACTTAAAATACTTGCCTAATCAGGTAAGGGTCTTGCTTAACAATGACATGAAAAGCAGCATTGAAGTCCATACAATTTATGTCCCTCTGATGTCTACAAAATTCATTTATTTTATAGTCTACCATGATCATGTTGGAAGCTTTAGTGATATATTAATACACATTAGAAACACAACCTACAATCCCCAGGTGACAAAAAGAGAATGGTAAACAAGATGTGTATGTCAAAGTGAACAGTTTCTTTAAGTTTTAGAAATGAGGTAGGCTGGCAATCCAATATTGTTTTCAGAGAATGAGGATGTGGTACATGTCAGAGATGCTTCTACCTGTATGCTGTTGCTGTTTCCTCATTGTCCCCATTATTTAGGCATATGTAACATATTAAGTGAACGTCAACTTCCAATGGGATATTTACCAGGACAAATACTCAAATATAGAATGCATTTAAAACTCACAGAATTAGAAAGAATTTAAAGAAATACCTTTGTTCGACTGTAGCCCTTGCTGATGGAAACTATGATTTTCACACTGCGGCCATCCTTATGTCCAGTTGTATCACCAGTGTCATCTAGCAAAATATCTATCATGTTTTAAAGGAAACATAAACATGATAGAGTAATATTAGCTCAGCCTTGTCAACTGTCCCTGTTTACTTGCTCAAAGTTTTATATTGTTCTGCTTCTCTTTCTTGCCTACCTGGCTTGAAAAACCTCAGCTTTCAAGATGAGTTGTGTGGTTAACTAAAGTTTCACTCATAATTTCTTTCTGCATCCAAAGATCTTTAGCGAAGAATTGGGCCATTGCCTTTGGATGAAGAAATAAGTTTTTTTTTTTCTATTAAGCACAAGTTTGACTTGTGCTTGAATAATACCTGAGTATTATTCAAATGGTGCAGTCACCATTACAACTGCAACAAACCGAAAAAACATCCAATTTTTTTATCCAAACTAAAATATCCAAGCTCAGAACCCAGGTAATTTATGAATGCAAAGGTGCTGAGATTGTCTGTCACCTGGGATTATTTTCAAGCACTTGGCACATATGCAGTTGTGTTGCCACTCATCTTGTATCTATCACTATTAGGTACTGTTATTGAATTTCAACTTTGCATTATTCATCCTGATTGAAGTGCATTATTATTTCTCTTCTGTACTCTTTATGCTGATAGTTTCAAAACCAAAATACTTTCTAGTAATCATCTAAAAGTTACCGAAGCCTGACAAAGCTTGTTAACCTTTAAAATACCAGCTTTTAAATGAGATTAAAGATTAAAATTTAAAATATATTATACCACATTAGTATCCAATTTGGAGAATTATTATGGTAAACTACCCCAAATATAAGTTTTCCTTCAACAATGATGCTATTAGTGAGCTAAGCTTTATAAGAAGATAGTGTTCTGTGGATAAAGGAAACTCAGTTATATGCTAAAGAGCACATGTGCCTGGTGACTAGCTGACTCATCTATTCCAATGATGATACTATAGAGACAAGTCCTGGGACTCTAACATCATAGAAACAACAATTTAATAAGATGCTACTGAAAATAGAATGGTTCCTATGATATTAATAATTAAACATATGTAGTTTTGCAAAGGAGGGAGTAAAATATAAGACCACACAATTGAATAACTTTTAGAGCTACAGGAATATGATAAATTTAACTAGACATTTTATTTTTATTATTTTTTGTCATGCTGGAGATCAAACCCAGTCCCTCATGCATGCTAGGCAAGCACTCTACCACTCAACTGTATCCCAAGCTCTTTCCCTGGAAACTTGTAAACCATCAAAGAGAATTTCCTATACTGGAACTTAACTATTATCTCAGATTAATATCCTCAAAGTCTTTTACCCTCTCACCTATTCTACTCAAAAAAAAATTGTATAGTGGAATCACTTCTGAATCTTCTTTAACAGAGTAGGGTAACTATAAGTTAAAACAATATGTGGTAATTTCAAAATGACTAGAAAAGTATGAAATTCCCAATACATAAAAATGACTAATATTGGAAGAGGTGGAAATATTTATTACCTTTGCCCTGATTTGATTATTATACATTGTCTACATGTCTTGCATTCTGATAATTTACCCCATGCAGATATATAAGTATTTCTCAATTAAAAAACTATTTCCTATGAACTGTTTTAATTATCGTTTTCCTAATTTCAAAAATTTTACAGCAGTTCGCCATTGGATGTTCATATCTAAACTTCTTGTAACTCATAACCAAACTTCCTCTTTAGTACTTTTCTCAGTTCCTCATAAGTATTCATCAATATTCAGTAAATACCCATGAAGCATAAGTGGTATCACAAAGGGTGCTAGGTATCAGGGATGAGTACCAAAGTACTAAAGAAAATGAATTTCTCACTCTTATGAAATACACATTATCAACAAGGTAATTTCAGAATGTGTCAAGTACTCTGCAAGAAGTTAACAGGGCAGTGCATTAGAGAGAAACTGAGGCAAGAGAGCTTTAAATAGATAGGTAAACCTAGAAGGTTTCCTTGAGGAGTGATGTTTGGGATAAGACAAGAAAGCTGATCAGAGCTAGGCAAGGGAAAAGCCAGGGAAAGACTCAACAAGAACAGTACAAAAGCTTTGATTATGAGAGCTGAGAGTGTTCTAGGAACTGACTGATGTTTATGGTTGCAGGAATGTAGAGACCTAGGGGAGGGAGCAGAGGGAGAGGAACAGAATGCGTTGAAGTGGGTAGTTGTCCATGGCAAAAGTTTTACCCTGATTGCTGATCCACATAGCTGCTCAACTGCCTTGCAACATGGCATTCATTTATGTCATACTAACTCTTCAAAACTAAGCTCCTGACAACAATGGGGTAAATATTTGCCATCAAAGGAACAAATGATTGTCCTTGGCTTTTGTATATAGGGCCATGTAAAGCAAAAATAATATGATAGTTAAAAGTCCAGGCACTGAGTTCATCCAGATTTGAGTTCAAATATTAGTTCTCTCACTCATTAGATGCATAATCTTGAAAAAAATTAATGTAGTCACTTTCCTAAGTCTTGGTTTCCTCATCTATAAAATGGGGTTAAATAGCCCCTACTTTGTAGAGCTATTGAGAACATGAGATAGTTTTAAAAACACTTCATGTTCCATGTTTAGTAAGTCTTGCTGTTCAAACCATAAGAGTAGAATTTTTAAAATTCTGACTTTTTTGAATGCATGTGATTCATGAAACATTAATATCAGCATGCTGTATCATTTCCTTTATCCTCAGCTCCTTCTCTATTTCAACATGATTTAAAGTGATTGATGAAGTGTCTCAGGCCCATGAGGGAATCTAGTCACCCAGGAACACGGATATTGATGGTTTCCATGCGTCATCTTGTGGTTGTGTTCTGCAATTACCACAGATTCCCCATCTCGACTTTTCCTACACCTGCTATATCCGTAAAATGATGCAATGTCATAGGAGCAGTTATATTTGATAATTGAACGGTTCATCAGATATTAACATGAAATCATGTAATAGGATTCTCTTTGGAATCTAATCAAAACTGTACCCTTATTCTATCATTAGCCTTATTGAACACAGCACCAGAATCCAGCGTGTTCTTCTGTTTATTAGAGAATTTAATAGAGCTGCAGAAGGAATGATGTCACAGCATTATGTTCTCTCTAGGCAACAGCATGAAAGATCTTCTAGTTGAATTTAGGAACTGGCTTTGTACCCTGAAAACCCTATTAACCGGCATGGAGTTTTTATTATATTCATGAGTACTAATCATCACTAAGAATATTTATTTCTTCATCCTATTCATAATCATGGAGGAAGTACTTCCCAAGCACAAGTGATTTTTTAAACAATGACATGAAGACTCTAAGATTCACTGTTGCACAGAGAATGTTCTTTTAAAATTATAAGTAGCAGAAATTTATAAGATAAAAAAACACAGCTATTTCTGAGAGTCACAATTAGCATTTTGAAGATGGGTATAGCTCTCCATATTCTATGCTTTCCCCCATCCCTGCTGAGCTGGGCAGCTGAGGTTTGGGCAGGCATGTGCACTGACTCACCTGAAGTAACAGACTCTGTGATGTTCAGGTTGTTGAGGGAAAGCCCTAAGGACTGCCGGGAGGAAGAAGAGGATGCAGTGCTTGAGGAATCTGATGGTGGTCGAGCAGGCTTAGCTAAGTTACCAGTTTCAGCCTTCAACCGGTCATTTTCAGCCTTCAGTATTTCAATTTCATTCTGTTACAAAGATACAGAACAGTGAAAAAAATGGGTTAGTTTGGTTGAGAAAATGGTACAAGGTTTGTATCACAGTTAGTTTCTTAAATAAATTATACAGTAATATACTAGATAAATAAATATAAATTATGAAAACAGAATTTGCTTCTACCACCATAAGAAAGGGACGAAGGTAGAATGAAGGAAAATAGAGGTAAACCAATTGGGGTTACAATACATAGGCATCTGGAAATATCACAAGGAAACTCCTATGTAGCTACCTGTTTTCTTTTACGAAATCAGAGAACAGAAGCGAAGAACAGGAGGGAAGAACAGGTCCTGCCCAGGGGGAGGGGGTTTGGGACTAGTGGGAGAGGGGAGGTGGCAGGGAAAAGGGTTTAGGAGGGTGAATATGGTGCAAAAAAATGTGTACATGTGTAAGTAAATGCAAAAATGATACCTGTTGAAATCATTCTAGAAATGTGTCGGTGTGGGGGAAAATAAAGGAGATTGGGGGAGGGGTGAATTCAAATATGATATATTTGATACATTGTAAGAACTTTTGTAAATGTCACAATGTACCCTTACCCAGCACAATAAAAAACATACAAAAATAAATAAATAAAACCAACTTAGAAAACAAAAGAATCTTTTTAAAGAAGTCAACTTTTTAGCTCTCACATATATGTAGTGTTATATTCACAAAAGACAATATTATTGTTGTTATTATTATTGGTTTTTTTGTAGTGTTATGAATTGAGCCCAGGGTCCAAATATGCCAGGAAAGCACTCTACACTGAGCTATATCCCCAGTCTTATCATTTAAAACAAGATCACAATTTTAAGTAGTTTTTCAGGACTTGGTTTCATTTGAATTAAAAATAACATAATTGAAAAGCTCCTCGCACTTCTCATTTAAAAAGTGGCATTAAAATCCCATACACTATAATTCCATTTGTACTTCTGTGAATTTATGGAGAGTGGAAAAACATAACAAAACAAAAATAACATAAATAAGGTGATTTAAAATTACTTCAGCATCCTAGCTAATAAATGCAAAATTATCTTTTTTTCAAAGTAGGGCACTAAGCTCATAAAAACAACAAAAGCCTTTTATGAATATATATTGTGGCAGATGAAACTGCTTGGCAGTGAGCTTTTCTTATTTCAGTCGTCTGAGGCACCAAGTGATTACTAGTTTACAATAATAAAATAAAAACTTAGTCTGAGCACAGACTTGTTCTGAATTTAGCCTTTAGATGCTTCCAAAAAATACAAAAGCTTTACTTTTACAGATGGCATTCTAAATCACTTTTCCTTCTATATTCAGAAAACTTGTTTTGAATTTCTGTAGTTCCCTCATTATGTTTGTTTCTCAGTAGAAAATAGGTGAAGATATTTGAAAGTCAGCTCTCAAAAGAACATAGTTTTAAAAGTCAACATAAAGGTAATTCATGGAAAAGTGAAAAGCAAAAACTGTAGTAGCTTCTCTAAAACTTAGCTGTCAGCCTATATGCAATCACTAACACAAGTGTCTTGAATGGTCCTTAAGAACAACTGGCCAGGTTGCTCCCTGGATTCCATCCTCAATTTGAGAAAATTCTCCATTCAATATTAATAACTAAGTTACAAAGATTGAATGAACAGAGTCCATCTCCACGATGGGTTTAAAAGTGGAATTTGTTGTACAGTAACCAAGAGAAGAGGTAAAGTAGCCTTTTTATTTCTCCATTTTGTTCCCTGAAGATGCTTCAACACCAACCTGCATCCGGTTCATGGCTTCCCGGATCTGATCAAGATGATGAGCAGAGCTGAGGGCCTCTAGCCGAATATCTGTTAATTTTAATTCCTTTTCTCTGAGCTCACTCTTCAGCTGCAAAATTATCTCTGCCTCAGCCTCTGTGCATTCACAGATCCTGAAGAAAAAACAAAAACAAAAACAAACACAAAACCAGTGATTTGGGGAAGATGCAGATTAGGAAAAGACATGCATCTTTTAAAGGCTGCACTGTAGTAGTATCCAGCAGGTAAAGAAATTATTTGCTGCTGGCAAAACACAGGGAAAAGGAGAAAGAGTTTCACCAACACTAATGCATCCTAGGTACAAAACTGCACACAGTTCATTTCTTTCAAACTTTTGTTCCTATTTTCTGAAGTTTAAAAACAATGTGTTATTTTGCAATATAAAGTGACCCTTAAAATCCCTGGGTAGTGCAGACATGTAGAGGGCAGAAGAGTCATGGTGTTACTACGTTTCATTCTATATTTTCCAAGAAACTTAAATCTCCATTTGCAACATATGCAATATTGCTTTTTAAAAGCCAATTTATTATATCCTCAAAATGCTTATTTCTTCTTTTGTAAAACTGTGCAAATAATAACCTTATTTGCTTCAACACTGTCATTTAGTTACCATGAAAACCCAATATAAATATTATACAAAATAAATTGGAGAGATTAGTTTTGGACATTAAATAGGGAAAGAGTGTTATATAATCTTTGTATTGGGCCCGGCTGATTCAGATCACAGTTAATGAAGCAAAGCCAGACTTCACCCGACACCAGGAGGATAGCTGGGAACTGTTTGAAGGTCACATAAATTATATCTTTATTGTTTTGTGAACAGCTTTGTAAACAACAAAGCTGTCAAGGAAATTTTTTATATTAAGTAGTATCTTTTCCATTTAAAATTTGAGGGCTTAGGTTGTCAATCACAAAATAACATGGTATGTTCTTCCTTTCTGTATAAGTGACAAAATTACGTAACCAAAGCATAATAGCTCTGTTTCATATGGCAGTTATAAAACAAGCAGAATCATCTCATCACACTACACATTGCTACATTCCAAATGTTGCCTTCTTTCCCCCATTACTAAAAATTGGGCAACTGTAGACGTGCTATGGTTGATTAACAAAATCAAAGACAAATGGATTGCAGCTAAATTTTAATTGAAACACAGAAAGAGGAGGCATGTTTTGTGTGAAATGCATGCAAGTGGTTTTAGAAAAAGCAGAAGCAAACATTTCTAGATTAGAACTCATATCTTTGCTGTTTCCATGCATCACACCATTTTACCGGGATCTATGCTTGTAGATCACAGGGCCATTTTGCCGTCTCTTTGGTGGCCAGACAAGAGGTGACCTGCATGTGTGCAGAGTTAGACAGATACATGGATAAATGCAAGTGAAAAAGAAGTAAGAATAATGATTTAGAAAAGTCAAGAATGAGTTCAAGAAATACTGAAATTTTAACATATGAAAAACCAGAGAAACAAATGCTGTCCACTATTGCAAGGAAAATTTGAAGATGACCAGCACAAAGAGGAGGCTGGTGTGGTGAGAATGTAATTGATTGCATGTAGAACAAAGCATGGGCTTGGCCTGACTTGGTGCTTGAGGAAAAGGTCTGTACTCTGCAAAGGGAGTGACTTACGCTGAGGCAGACTGGGATGGCTTCATGGAGGCTGAGCCGCAGTCACCAGCATTATGGGGCAGCTTGGGGGAGGCTGGAAGGGAGGAATCAGTAAGCTCTTCAATGTCCGAGTGTGAGGAAGGAGGCTTGGTGGACTTTTTCTTCCCAAAGGCTTGTTTGAAAGAACTTCTCAGCTGAAAGAAGGACAGGAATTACCTTTCTTGTCTATTTGCACTTGGAGGGCTTTTGCTTTGGGACGTTAGTTTGCAGGTGCCACCCTAGCCACTGCCTGGGGTCAGTATATATAAGCAGAGTATTAACAATTGCAGCACAGTATCTCTAAAAAAAACAATGATACTGCATTCTGTGTTTTCCTTTATTCTTGTATTAATCCAGCACAGCGCAAACATGGAAGGCTTTTAAATAGTGCAAGGTCAAGGGCATGGCTGTCAGAGCACTCATTTAAAACTAAGTACCTTGAAGGGATCTCCATTCCCAATACTTCTCTCTTCAAGGCAATTTGTTTTAAATGGCCACTTTAGCGCTACAGTCAAGTCATATCCTGCTGATAGTACAAACTTAAAAAGCAAAATGAAATCAAATTCACCTAACACTTCATTAATTGTGATTTTCTATTCAAATTTTCCATTCCCACACTATTCAAAACCAGAATTGGTATCCCCTACCGCTCTATTCAGAAAGTGGTTTTACTTCTCTTTAAAATTTGGGATTAAAATGAAAAGACACAAAGAAAAGACATACAAGGTAATCTGTTTTAAAAAGGTATAAAAGCCTACTGCCAAAATGAATAGCATTCATGCCAAGGTAGGGTTTTTTGTATAGATGCATGCCAAATTGTCCATGGTTTATATTCACCTCACTTCCTCTAGAGTTCACCTTGCAGAAACATGAAAGAGTGTGGAATTACAAATCAAGGGAATGAAGGCTGATCAGTATTTTAAAATATTACCTGCATAAACATTTTTTTAAAACAAAAAAGATTTTTTTCATTATTTATAGAAAGCACTCTGGAAAAAATCCTCTGATAGTTTTGTTTTGGATTTCATCATGAGTTGTAGTTATTTACCATCTACCTTTGTTTGGTGGTATTAAAAGAAATCCTTTACTTCTACAATGACAGCATGTTCCCCTTAGTTTTGTACATTTTCTTTTCAGCAATTGCTTATTACCATAAATTATAATAAAAAATCTCTAGCAAACTTAAGGCAGAATTCTTTTGAAGTTCATTTCTGTATTTCTATTGTGTTCTCTTAGCAAAAAAACAAAACAAAACAATAAACCCACACAATAATGTAGTTAATTTCTTATGAACTGAGGCTGAAATCTTATTCATATTGTAGGCACTATTGACTCTGGGGGCTGGGGGTGGATTCTAATTGCTCTTCTTTCCCCTTAGCAACTCCAACTGCAATTCTTCTTTTCTGCCTCTCTGCCACCACCATCCAACCACCACCATAATCATTACCACTACCATCTTCACCATCATCAACCCATCACCATCATCTTTTAATTCCTCTTCCTCTCCATCTTGACAATAATACCCCCTCTTAGTCCCAATTCAAAATATATGCTCTTCAGCATCAGACCACTCTAATCTTGATGACAAGTGCAGCATTTAAGAGCCAGTCCCTTGAATGGGACTCTGTAAACTGCTACAGCTACAGCCCCAAAGAAAAAAGTCCAAGTCATTGTGCAATAATACGGCACTGAATTAGATGAGTGATAATGGCTTACCCAGTTTTTCTTTTTCTTTTTCTTGGAGTCAGCATCATTGCCACTACCAATGCTGGAATGGCTTGTGGCACTGTTGATACTAGAAACACTTTCTGATGAATGCTGTCTTCGGATGCGGAGGTCTAACAACAGACAGAAAGTATCACATTTGCTCCTAGAGTCTCAATTAAATATGTCTTTGAGGTTTTCAGAGAGGAAGGTCTCTAAAAACGTTCAACAAGGCTTTGTACAGATAGTTCTGTGCAGCTTTTGTCTTAGAAGTTTAATGAAGTACAACTATATTTGCTTTAATTAGCTGAGTTATCTATGTTAAGAATCAATGAGCCTCCCACATGAGTGTGCAGCACTGGTCGTTTAATCAGTTCTGAGTTTTGTCCAAAAATGAAATGCTATGCTAGTGATTTGTACTGAATACCTGTATCAAATAGCAGTTCCAAAAGGATTTATTCCAAATGATTAGCTCCATGGACTGAGTGGAAATTCATAATAGGATAAGTGTTAATTCTGTCTTTCATATTTGTGCTTTGAATAGTTATCAAAGCCACATATATTGACCTTACATGTCATTGAATCATGCCATGTTAGGACCCAAACAAACCTTGGAAGCCATGTAAGCATATCGTCACACAAAAGAGGGAGGGGGCAGGGGGCAAGAGGGAGAAATGGCCCAAACAATGTATGTACATATGAATAAATGAATAAAGAAAAAAATTAATGAAAAAGAGGAAATTGAAATGCAAAGAAGTTATGTCACTTGACCCAAGGTCAAAGAAGCAATGAGGGGAGGATCCTCAAGATAAAGTCTAGGTAGGCTGAGTTTGTAAATTAAACAGATAATGTATTAAATACAATGAAATCTTCTAACATATCTCTGATTCTTGCCCACAACTTCAACTAGTAACACTAATGATGATGTTTTGTATGCCCCTGGAGTAATTAATTTTATTCTGAAAGTGAAGTAATGAGATGAATTTAACTACTGAATATAATTTGCACATGGTTACAAGCTGAAAAACAGTGAAGCCAATCTCAGAGCTAGTCTGATTCTGATATCCATTGTGCTCACTAACTAGCATGTGATATGGCCCTCTTACACTTCTAAACAGTATGTGGTGCTTCTCCGGATACAGAAGATACTTTGAAGGGAAAAAGATTTGGTATTTAATAATTCTTAAAGGCATCTACGTTTTTTCCATATAATTACCTTAAAAGATTTATTTATATCCATTAAAATTAAAACTTAAATTTTTATAGGCTTATAGTAAACAGATACTAAATGCTAGTGAGATACTAAGAGAATTTACAAGATCTAATTTGCTTTTAGGATACTCCTATCAGTATTTTTAAATTGGCATCAATGCAGATTGCCAAGCAAGAAAAAAATTCAGGGCAACTGGTAAAATAAAATGTCAAAAAGTACAAATTTCATATAGTTTCCTTAGAAGTAGTACTATGAAATTAAACCTGATTACTTGACCAATTTATTGAATAGTAAAAATGACCCATGACAGTAAACTATAATTGGTTACTTTAAGAATATGTAACAAATGAGTATATATGTGTATATGTAACATAATATATATACAAATACATACAAACATGCATATATGGGGATAAATATTTACATATCCTCACTCACAGGTAATAATGCTAAAATTTATAAGAGGAAAAAATAGAGTCAATTTTTAGAATTTGTACAGTTTGATTTCAAAAATTATATTTTAAAATAGTGATGAGAACATTTATTGTTCTTCTATGCCAAAAATGATTACAAATCTCAAAACCTAAATCAAGGTATTTATGTGTACTGTTTTGATTCCACAATATAAAAGCCTTGTATCCCTTAAAACACCAATATGAAAGCCATATGAATAAGTGATAGAAGTGAATGTATAGCTATTTATTCATGTTTTAATTTCTGCTGCAGTTGGCTGTTAGCTTTTCTGAAATAAAAATGCAGCATTTGCTAGCTTTCTCTTAGTAATAATTTTTCACCAACAGAATAGATATATAAAGTATTACAGAACTCTAGAGGCTTTATTATATCCAGAGTTAATAAAGTACATTTGGGTTCTTTTATATATCCCTAACTTTAAAAATAGGTAAATTATTATAATCATCGTCAAAAGTGCTCCTTGGAGGCTTTACTTTCCTGTAACTACAACTGTATTTACCAATAAAGATTAGCAAAGGATAATTTCAATAATATTATGAAATGAAGGGAATGTGTTTGACTTTTCCCTAGCAATTCCTTCCTAGTACTTATAAGAATGTGATTGAGTATTTGTGGCATTATAGACCTGGCAAATAATGATAAGCCAGTGAATATCAGCAAACTGGATAAACGGAGAAGCCCATTTTTAAAGTACAGCTTTCAGTTATGTATTTGTTCACTCATTCATTTTCCACTTCCCAGCCTCTGCATCACCACTGCCCCAGTTCAAGCTACCAACACCTCTTACCTGCTCTACAGCAAGATTTGCTGCCCAGTTACTCACCTTCAAACCACTGCCTAAGCAGAAACATCTTTAGAAGAAAACTTCACCACCACTCCTTTACTTAAAACCTTTTAATATATTCTAATTTTAATAAGAATAATATGGCCAAATTCTCTCAATTATCTGGTCAGTACTCATGTCTTCAACGACATTCTGCTTCCTTCACCTTTGTCATTATCTTCTTTGTATCTGATCCCTAAACTAAAAGCACTCATGTCTTTTGTGCTTGAAGGCCTCCTGGAATGCTCTTTCCTCAATATAACATGACTTCATAATTCTGTGAATCTTCCCTTCAATGTTGTTGCAATGGAAAGGCTTTTGTGACCATGTAACCTCTAGTAGGGTCCCTGGTACACTCCTTTTTATGGCACCCTATTCTCTTCTATCTTACAACTATTTTGGGAAATACCTCAGCTATGCCAGTGATCACAAGCAGTCATTTATTTTCTGCTGTCCCACTAGACCAAAAGTTCAATGCAGGAGATCATATCTACCTTGTTTATTGTTACTGTGCACATGCAAGGCCTAGTACAGAGCATGGTGTGAGGCAGGCAATGAATATGTAGCTGCTGAATACATATTCAGGTGTTCATTCAGTGAAAATTGTTCACTTACCACTATTTCTAAAAACTATTTACTATTAACAGGGATTACATATATGTGTGTATTTATATTTTAACTGTATTTGGTGCTTTTTTTTGGCTGTACTAGGATTTGAACTCAGGGCTTTGTGCTTTCTAGGCAGGCACTCAATCTTTTTTTCTTTACTTATTTTTTAGGTATGGTCTTATGCTTTTTGCCTGGGAATGGTCTAAATTGCTACCTATACCTCTATGTAGCTGGGGTTGCAAATGCATACCAGCTTGTTTATTGAGATGAGGTCTTGCTAACTTTTTCCAAGACTCTACTTCCCCCGTAGATGGAATTACAGATGTCCACCACTCTGCCTCACTGTGTATTTGGTGCTTCTTAAGGAAAAACTTTTTCATGTTTATAGAAGTAGTAACTTTAAAAAAAATTTTTTTATCATTTTTACATTTACTTACATGTATATACACTTTAAAAGGACAATATTATACTTAGAGAAAAAAATAAAATTGCCCAGACCTTCAGCTTTCAACTTTATAATAATTATGCTTATTATAATTGTTTTAAATATAAATCAGTATAAATAAGTATATATTAGAACATTTTCCCTTTCATTGCAATAAATTGTGAGTCACTTGGATTTCTTCTCTTCTTTCTTCCTACTTCCTTTCCTCCTTTCTTTCTTCCTTTCCTTCTCTCTCTCTCTCTCTCTCTCTCTTTCTTTCAGTACTGGGGTTTGAACTCAGGGTCTCATGTTTGCTAGGCAAACACTTACCACTTTAGCCATTCCATCAGCAAATTGCGAGCCACTTGGATGCAGCCATCAATTTTTATCTTTGTATTTAGAGTACAGTAGAGTCCCAAGTATACAGCAAGTGTCAAATATGTTTATAATTGAATACATGTTATTACAGACTGTTATTTATCAGCCTTTTTTAGTAAATGTGATATATAAATTTAGAGTAGAGTGATGTTAATAAATGAGTATGTGATTTCTTCAGTTTGTCCTGTCTATAAAAATTTTGCCTCACTACAGATCTTAAGACCATATGTCAAAAATAGATATAATAAAAATATTTTAAAGGTCTCAAAAACTGAATTTCAACATGATTTTAGAATATGAATTTATAAGCTAGGGAATCACCCGAGTCACACATGGAAAGACAATACAGTTAGTCTAGCTTTTTCCTCCAGGTAATGTCAATGGTTAAGGTGATACACATAACTTTATGTTCACTATAATTAATATTGTTTTAATTGTTCAGAAATAAAATCTAAATATCCTGCATACTGTCACCCATCCATCACTGGTTATTTTTGTTAGCTTTCAAATGTGGAAAACTTTAATATTGTTAGCATTTCTTGTCCTGATTAGATACAACTTATTATTTTGTTCATCTGGCATTTCCCTTCCCACATTTTTGAGCAAAGGAATTTCTATTTTTTAATTCCAGGAGATATACTAAGCTACCTGTTGCCCAAGATAAAAGGACTCCTTCCACAAAGTTTCACTTCTGTGACTTGTGCTATATTAAAGAAAGGATTAAGCCTTTTTAATCCTTTCTGGACCTATTTACAACATGAAGATTTAGAACATAAGCTGCTTTATTACAGCTCTAAGATAAGCTTTAAATATGCAGTAATTTTCCTTGCAGTAGACAAATGAACTCCCCCACATGGGGAGCTGCTAAACTCTTAAGAAGCAGCCCAAAGCGTACCTCCCTTTATATGTTTTTTCCTCAAATTTAAAGTCAATGTTATAGTTTTTTTTTTATTTTGCTATTCCTTTCTATAAAATGTGAATAAGCCCCCTTTATGTGCAAAGAACCATCAGTGGTACAAGATCCCAAAGGCAGATCTTAAAAGCGCTGAAGTAAAACGTCATCTTTAATAAGGGAAGTATAGGTATTTCCAGAAACTTATCACAGGAGACTTCATCCAGTTTACAGGAGAAGAAGGCCTACTTAGGCTAAGTCCTACAGTTTTCCATAAAATGTTTATGCTGAGCAAACATGGTAGAAGGTTTCAAGTGGAATCAACAGCCTGTACTAAGAACTTATGAAGAATGGAAAGAAATTCAGGATAGTGGGAACATGGAGAACACAGTGTAGCCATAAAAGTAAGACATAAAGTCAAAACTGGCACCTAGCACATAATTAGTATCCACTAAATAAGTGCTGAATGAACAAAGCTGGCAATGAGAGGTTATGTCATGCAAGGAGTTTGTCGTTCTAATTCTAGGTCCCAAGATAGCTTTGGGTCCATGATTTTAGATGATTGCTCTGGCTCTGGAATGAAGAAAGGAGTAACCTGGGAAAAGAAGAACAGGAAGGCTATGTGGTAGTTTGCAACCATGTGTTGGGGGACAATGTTGAGTGGGAACAGAAGGACCACAAGAAAGGGAACAAATTCAAGATATACCCAAGGGGCAGAATCGGCAGAACTTGCTGCTTTGTTGAATCAGGAGAAAAGTGTCATGAATGAAAATGAGCTGTCTGGCTCTAGGGAAGGGTGGTGATGCTATTTACTGAGGCAAAAGCACTGAAGGAGAAACAGGACTGAGAGGGGAGATGACAAGACCAAGGTTGGGGATGTTGAGTTTATGGTGCCAAAGAGATACCTAAAGAAATCCAAATGGATTTCTCTGTTGGTGGCTGGAGGGAGGGGGTCTATATCTAAACAGAGGATGATCTAGAGACACAGATCAAAAAGTAATCAGCATACCAATGGTATTTATAACTACAGAACTAGATCAGTTTTATAGAATTTTAATAGGATATACAATAGTAATATGGTTTAAAATCACAGCATTAAGAGAGCTTAGGATATCAATAACTAACAAACATACAACAGAGTGAGTGGATACTGACAAAGAAAATGATGAATGGATAAAGAAAATGTCATATATACACTATGGAGTATTATTCAGACATAAAAAAGAAAGAAATTAGGTCCTTTACAGGAAAATGGATGGAAATGGAGATCATCATGTTTAGTGAAATAAGTCAGAGACTGAGAAAGACAAATATGCTCTCTTTCATATGTTGAATCTAGACCTAAAAAAAAATAACTTGAGTGTAAAATGGGGACTGGTTGGAAGGCAGACCAGAGATCAAAGTGTTTCATACCCATGCATGAAAATGGAATGAGATCTGTTCAAATCATTTTAAAAAGTGGGAAAATGAGAAAGAGTAAAGAGGCAGTGAATTTGATCAAAAGACATTATACATATGCATGGAAATATCACAATGAAATGCTTGTGGACAATTAACATATGCCAATATAAAAGATATTTCAAAAGAACTTCCATGATGTCATGAATATTAGAAAAACATGAATGTTTCAAGAAGAAAGAATTTGACATCAGTATTAAAAGCTGTTTCACTATGAAATACAATAAGAATTACAGACATTTTATGGATTAAGTGCCGTATAAGTCACTGGAGAGAACAGTTTTAATGAAATGATGGGACTAAAAGCTGCAGTTCAATGGTCTGAAGGATGATTGATGATTGATGATATTGAAAAACTAATTTTTTTCTCCAGAATTTATCTGGAAATGGGAAGAGAAATGATAGGAATTCAGGATTTAAGAAAGAATTTTTAAACTGGGAAAAAAGTAGCAAGACTTGAAGTTATCAAAAAGCATCAGGACATGAATAAATAGAATGTATGTAAAGAATAAAAATGACATGAAAATGGTGAGCATTTCTTCAGTGGGGATTGTAGTAAAGAATAATATTTTCATTGCTTAAAATTACAAAAGCATGGTAAGAATAAAATCAGACCAACTTGTAGTCTGTTTTGTTATGTTAAAATTATCTGCAGGTGATGTACTGTCTTATTGACCCCACCACAGAGAAGTCACTCCTCATGTCCCTCACTTGGAATATGACCTTACTAATTCCTTCAGTTGTGTATGTGGATCTGGAGCAGCATCTCAGGACTGGGCCTGTTTTGCTTCAATATATATATGTATTAAGCAACCTCCATCGCTGCCTTCAAGTGGAGAGAAAAGTGGTTGCTAACTAAGAAGTGAATCCATTAGGGTTATTTAATAAGTATTTGATAATGAACGCAACTATGCCCAGAGACTAAAATTTGATCATATTATTTCCATTTTATTCACTATAAAAGGCAGAACCACTGACTGAATGCAGCTTTACTCTGATAAAATAGATATCTATTGTATCAGAGGAAGAACACAATATTGCTAAGCCTACCTTTGGGAGGATGGTCTGGACCATTCAGGGCTCCCTGAATGGCTGCCTGGGCAGCAGAGTTCTGGGCCTTCAGCATTTCAATGGTTTCTCGTAGTTCTATGAGTTCAGATTCCTATGGAATAAACAGAGTTCGAAGCTTTAACATCTAGAGAGAAAAATATCCTTGCCTCACAGTGCACTATCAAATGGGTTTGATTTTATGTAATGCCAGCCTCTGGGGAATTTGGATGCTTGGCTGACCTTGTCAAATTGTACTAATAACTTTGTTAGCTAAAAAGAAATTTTTAAAATTGTTCTTAGTTATTGTCCTATAAAAGTATTCTAAATATACAGGCATGGTGGTGCACACCTGTAATCCCAGTAACCAAGGAAGTAAAGATTGAAGGATCTCTGCTTGAGGCCTCATTTCAACAAATAAGCCATGCATGGCAGTACACATCAGTACTCCAGCTATTTTGGAGGTGCAGTTAACAGGATCACAATCTAAGGCCAAATCAGGCAAAAATGAGAGGCCTTGGGTGAAAAATAATTAACTCAAAAAGGGCTGGGAATGTGGCTCAAGTTGTAGAGTGCCTTCCTAGCAAGTGCAAGTCTTTGAATTCCAATACCATCAAACAAACAAAAGCAGATGTTCTAAGTAGTCTTTAGTCCCTTCAAATGGTGGCTAATTTTATACACCAAGCTTATCAATATTTCCTATAATAACATTATATATTTAGGTACCAGTATTGCACTATTGCATACAATTGCATTTATGGTCAACTGGAAGTGCTAAATTTTTGTCAAATGTGTGATTTTAGATTTTCTCTGAAGTACTTTACATTTTGTTAATTAATTCTTTGTATCCAAGTGCAAAACCTGGAGCTCACCCCTAACTCACTCCTATGATGTCATCTTATACAATTTTGCTGGCCGATCAAGGTCACCTTAGAGTCTGATACTATTCATCTAATAGAATTCCTGGTAGGTAGACCCAGCTCACCAAGGCAAAGGAATATAAAGAAATGTGAATAAAAACACATCACATACAGTCCTTAAAAAGCAGTGAAATTAGCTAGTAAGTCAACTTACAAATAAAATTTTTATAAAACATAATTTCTTCTTGAATTTAGAAATTTTAATTTTAATTTTTTTGCTCTGTCCCCATGCTAATCACTCTATAAATTTGGTGTTTCACAGATATTAAAGTGAATTATTTTAGAAGAAATGATTCACTATGAGGAGATGAGAGCCAAAACAAAGGAAAAGAATAAAGAAAGAAACAAGATTTTCATAAGATGCTGGGTAACAAGGGTATCCTTTTTGTTGATTGTTGTTGTTAATTTTGTTTGTTTTATTGAGACATTCTTGCTTCATAGCCCAAGCTACCCTCAAACTCCCAATCCTCTAGCTTCAGCATTCCACATGCTGGGATTACAGAAGTGTGTCACCATGGCTGGCAGGGTATGCTGCTTTTTTGTTTTTCATTGTTGTGTTGGGTGGGGGTACATTGTGGGATTTACAAAAGTTCTTACAATGTATCACATATATCATACTGGAATTCACCCCCTCCATCACTCTCCTTTATCCTCCTCTTCCCCATTCCTGAAATAGTTTCAACAGGTATCATTTTTACATTTACATACATGCATACAAAATATTTGCACTATTTTCACCCTTTCCCCCCTCCTCTCTCCTCCCAGTGGTACCAACCCACCTCCCAGGCACAACCCATTCTGCCTTCCAGTTCTCTGATTTTGTAAAAGAAAGAAAGAAACAAGCATTTTTGCTTGTTTAGGGTAAACTCCATAAACATATGGAGTTTCCTTGTGACATTTACATGTATATATGTATCATAACCCAAATTGCTTCATTTCCTCTATTTTCTTTCCATTCTACCTTAGTCCATTTCTTGCGGTGGTTTCAACTGGTTTAAAAATTCTATATTCATTCTTGTATCGTGAATACATCAGCCATATTCACCTTCTTACCTTCCTTCTTTTACCCTTCCCCTCTCATATGCGACTCCCCACACTGTGATTAGTGTTTCATAATATTGCTGCATTTGTTTTGGGTCTGTATTCCACATATGAGAGAGAACATGTGGCTTTTGGACTTCTGAGCCTGGCTAACTTCACTTAAGATGAAGTTCACTCATTCTTCTTTGTGGCTGAATAAATTCCATTGTGTATAAATACCACATTTTCTTAATGCATTCATCGGTACTGGGTCATCTTGGCTGTTTCCATAGCTTAGCTATTGTGAATAGCACTGCAATAAACATGGGTGTGCAGGTGCCCTTATTGTAACCTGACTCACATTTCTTTGGGTATATCTCTAAGAGTAGCATTGCTGGATCATATGGCAGATCTAGTTTAGTTTTTTGAGGAGCCTCCATACTGTTTTCCATGGTGGTTGTACTAATTTACATTCAGGTTATGCTTCTTGATGGTGATGCAAACTTAAAAAATTAGATCCTTGTCAGTCTTTTAGCAAGGCAATTCCTTGGTGACGTATCTGTCATTTCTTTTTTCTAGCACCTTTGAGTTTTTCATTTTGTGGCAAATAGTTTACCCTTACACTCTGTCTCCCAGAATGTAGGGGAAAAACTAAGGATTTTCTTTGTAGAAAACTGCTTCATACATGGGAATGTCCACGGACTATTCTAACCTTTGATATTTAAATAAAAGACAGAAGATGGGGGTGATGTCACTAATGTACAAGATAAGTCTGATCAGAATTGTCACTATGAATCCCCCTGTATAATGAATATATCCTAATAAAATTTATTTCAAAAGATAGACAATGCTAATTGAAATAGTATACAAGTTTGGGAGGATACCTGGCATTTTATGTGTCTATTTTTATTGGATATCTAACATATCTCTGATAAAAAACAATTAGATTTTAAAAAACAAACTCTTCCGGACTATTAACAGTGTATAAATCAAAGAACCTATGAATGAAAAATTAAGAGCAACCTCCTGAATTTCTATATGTATTTTTAAAATACTTAATTGTAATCCATTTGTATTTGTTTATCATAAAGTAAAAATATATTTGTGGAAAATTTCACATAATTTATCATAATTTCTCAGTCTCTTCAACTTCTACATTTCCAAACTTCATTATATTTTCCATTTAAAATATATCTCCTTGTGGTAAAATATCTATTGGAAATTTACTCTGCTTTTATAAGAAGTCTATTCAAAAATTACTCCTATGGTGCATAATTGATGAATCATGTAATTTAAATATTAATTTTCTAACAAATGCTCGAATGCATGTTAAATTTTAATTACTGTCAGATTTCCATTCTTGAATTTGAAATCAATGATGCTTATACTGTGGATTAAAAATCTGCTAAAATATTTGGCTGTAGCTTTAATGGGAAAAAATGGAAATGAGATCTTATGCAAATATCTACAAATTGAGCTCAAGTTTACGCTTGCTGACTTACTTCAGTGTCAAAACTTTAATCTCCTCCAGAAACTTTAAAAAAATGATTAAAAGTGTAATGTTCAGGCAATGTTGCTTTTTAGAATATTATGTCTGATGTGCCATAAAGGATTATCAGTTTCTAAAATAAAGGTTCTTTTTGAGAAAAACAGATATTAGCAGTTTAGTTTGTACTTGATGTGGCTCAGTAAACCCAAATGAGGAATGACTAAGTAAAGAAATATATTTACTATATAACTTGGGGAAAATCACATCTGTCAGGTCATACTGGTAATTCATTATTAGAACTTCACAAATGCAAGCAAATACCTATAATATATTCCATAACATTAAATTAAACATAGCTATATTCTGAAATGAATGACACAATGTATTCAAACCTGCACTGTTACTTCCCCACAGCTGCAAAAGTTCCTTCCTTCTTTCTTATTTCACACCTTGTCATTCAAGCCACAAATATCTCCTCTCTGAGTCTTAAGATGTGAATTTCCCTTCTGCTTTAAATATCCCCCATGTGGAGACATGGTGAAATGTCTCCACACTGGTGAAACCTTTACCTACCAGATAAAAGGTCCTTCTGTGTGTTTCCAGACTGTTCAATGCATTTGCTTTATTCAGTTGTTTGAGAAATATATCTTTGTATCTGAGTTATGATCTCAGTAACTGTTGGGATGGCTTTGCTGAAATGTTTTACTCTATGTTCAACAGATGTAGTTCCCTTTTAGAGAATAATACATACTTCAACTTTACTACCCATATCCTTTCTTTGTTAAGAGGGTGTTTCATCACTTAGGGAGAAGGATGCTATTTTAAAACAGCAACACCTTTATTGCTTATTATAAATAGAAAGTCTCAATGTGACTGCATAAGTGGAATCATTTCTTGGACAGCAATGATGTCAGGGTTGCCTTTCTATGGTATCCTAGAGAAGAACAAAAAGCTATTACTGTAAACACTTGGTTGCAATATAGAAATTGCTTGTCAATAGTTTTATGGTCATAATTTTTAGCTTGGTAATTATAATTAGTTATTTACATTTACTTTTTTTATTGTTGGACTGGTTGGGGGTACATTGTGGCATTTACAAACATTCTTACAATCTATCAAATATATCATACTTAAATTCACCCCTTCCATCATTCTCCACATTTACTTTTTAAGCTATAGTTTATAAGGCTTTTATAATGCATAGAAATTGTAATGTTACTTCAAAGCACAACTATGAATTCCTTTTACATTTTTCCCATGGTGGGAATTTGGATATGGACTATGACTAGAAATGAGTTCCAGAGATAGCTGACTATAAATCATTAAATAATTTGAAATATTTTGACATAATCTCTGCATTTTGAAGGTGATCAACAGAAGATATTTAAGTTTTGAGAATCATTACTAAATCTTCAGAAAAAATCCCAAGAAATGTATATGCCATAAAGATAAGCATGTGAGGTACAATTCTCTGAGTCAGCAGTTTCCAGTTTCCTGGAAACTCTGATCATTAGACACAAAAGGGAAGACAGGGGCTAGATAATTCTGCAAAGGGTCTTGAGAATAAGATGATCCTATCATATTTTGTTGATATTTCTCATTCCTTCCAATGAATCTTAAAGATAATGATACCCTAAAACCTGCTGACTAGGTGAGAGTCTAGTTTTCTATCAAAGCTTTTGTATA